AGTGGCAATATCATAAAATTACTAGAGAGAACAAACAGGCTCGATGTCTCTCCCCATACCCTCCGGTTGCCCGCTGTCTATCCACGAAGAATTGCTTCATTTTTCTCTCTTCTTAATGTTATTTTTCACCATAAATTCTGCCTTTGTGCTCACGTTCATCTGTATGGTTTACGTTAAAGCAGCAAAGGATGGGCTTAAGTGGTCATTTTTTGTAGTAGATTGTGAGAGCCTGTGCTCTGGTGTTTGCGAAGAGTGCTGTGTTCTTCAGAAACAGAAGGCGAGAGCTTGACTGGAGGAGGAACCCACAAGATACAAAGAAATACCTGTATTCAAATGTATCCAAGTGTGGCGGATGTGAATTCCAGGCTGTGTGGTGGAGTGTATAACCCACTCTCTCTACAGCCTTCTGTCACAAGTGGGAATTGACCAAGTAACAGAAGATACTGCCGTTTTGACCGTGTGTCAAGGGTCAGATTTAGTCATATAATCTGATGGGCATCAGTGCTTCTGCTCTGCAGTGACAAAGGCCTACAGTTTAGGTATTTGGAAGCACAATACTCATCAATTAAAAAGGTGTGGGATGTAGGGCTCTAACACGCATTGAGGAAAGATTGGAAAGTTTAGTAATCACAGGAGCATGAATAGTATGGATGGCTTCCCAGAAACACTGAAGGGATAAATATCATGTGCAGTAGTACCAATAGTCCATAAACTTGCAGTTCTGCACAGAAGGGTACTTAAGAAAAAACTCTTCCACTTTTATTTGTGAAGAACCTTTTCTCAGTAATTAAAAAACACCCACTATTTCCAGATTACCAGTGTGCAAATAAGCGATTTATAAATTTTAGCTAGTTCACCTGTTTGTTGTGGATGCTGAGTAACTCCAACATCAATTGTATTTCTTTAATCTGCATCCAGGTACAATATTGTTATTAGTAATTTTCATATAAGATTAATCTGGAATATATTTATAGGTACTTAATCTGCATTTAAAAGTTAAAATCCCAGGTCTTTAAAACGCTAATAAATCTTCTGGCTATTTTTAATATATTCATAAACAGAAAATAATCTGTCCAGGCCTTATTTTTTCTTTATTTTTCTTCTTTATCTTAAAAACAAATCTAGCTAATCTAGGTATGCAGTGCAAACATCCTTGCCTCACTTTCTGTGGTATTTAGACAAAACTGTTTCTTTACTGCTCTGTCTTCTAAATTCCGAATCTGCAATTTTTTTAATTGTTAGTGGAAGATCATCAAAGCTAAAAAGGGCTTTTTCCATTATTTATATATCAATGCTAATGTGACATTGCCTGTAATTGTATGTTTTGTACATCATGACTTTGTTTATGTTCTTGTTTTGTATGATCTAGGCAAGATTGCAATCTAATAAATGAACTTTGTTGCCAACACTATTCAAATCATTTAACCAGGTAAGCCAGTATTTTGCATTTTCCGTGTGAACAATATCACTTTGTTTTTGAAAGTATTATAGCCAGGCCAAAACCCTAAAATAAGATTGTACAACTTTCAATGTTTCATCTAGATCTGATTATTATATAAACAATTAATAACATAAACTTTCTTCAGTCTCAGTCTGGACTGTCAACAGTGATAAATTGCCTTTCATTTAAATTGTCATTATGTGAATTCCAGGATTTTAAGTTACTGTTGAATGTTCAAAACTGACATAAAAGCAATGTGAAAAAACCTCTCAAGGTTAATTATTTTTTGCCCCTGTATGATTGCTAGATGGATTCTGAAATAGTTTTGGAAGCAAGATTTTTGAGCTACTCTATATTACTGTTTGTTACCAAAAGGTTTTACAAAAGTTCAAGAAATAAATGTGTGTTATCTTAACTGTTTTGAATATTATTAATGTTTTTCATCTGGGCTAAGTGAAGAGGAAAAATACTGAGAGATGGTAAATGCATACTTTGTGAATACATTTCTTGCTTTTTCTTTCTCTGACCTAGAAACCATAAAAACCGACTTTTATTTCAAACTGGGGACAAGATTTCCTGCACACGGAATACGTATCTCAGGGATCTCTTGCCAGGCTCTGGTTTCAGAGATGGTTCTAATGGCCATGAATATAGAAGTGGAGAAACCACCCTCACTACAGAGGCTGCTGAGGAGGGCAAACGACTGTGCAATGGAGATATATTTTTCATAACAGAGGTAAGTCTTTGCTGCAAGAACTTGCACAAAAAACCCCTGGTGGTAACTGATTCGGTCCTCGTTGAATCTCCAGAACCAAAAAATTCACACTTTACAAGTTTAGTCTGTAGTACATACTTAGTTCTGCTAAACTATCACGTGAAAGGCAAGAGGCAAGCTACAATAGAGAATTTAAAAAAACCCAACCCTGAGCTTTCTTGTAAAATGTGTTTCAGTTGGTCTGCTTGTGTTCAGTGTAAATACAGTCTGTAAATACTCAAACGTATTGTAACTGAAATGGATAATTTTGTATATAGGCAGAAACAGTCTTAAGTAAAGAATAAGGCTAATGTTACAGCTGGAGCTCTCCCTGGCAGAAAACTAAGCTAACCTAAACATACAGCAGTAAAAACCTGTATTTTTTGGTGGCTTCAGGGAGTAGAGCAGAGGGGCCAGTGAAATTATCAGTAGTTAGGGTAGGCCCTGTACAATGAAACTATTTTCCTTGAAGATGGTCAGTAAAAGAATAGGGATGCACTCAGTACAAGCTCCCTGCTAAGTATTGTGTTATTCCTCTAGGATGTAGAAATTGATAAGCAGCGCTTACTGACCATCAGCAGCACGTACGGCTCCGTGTTCACTGTGAAGTATAAGGCACTGAAGAAGCTATGTCACATAAAACATGCATGGGCCAGAACTATTCACACATTTCAGGTAAGAACATAGCAGCTCTGAGCCATATTTTCACGTGAAAGAGTCAGAAACTTCTCTGAAACCACAATTCCTTAAATGCAGGATAGAAAATACTCTTGAAAGAGTGTCCACAGTTGTCTCCAACTTCCTCGTTCTTCTGTCTTCTTTTTTTAAAAACTATTTACCGGAGATCTTGCTTTGAAATGGCATTCTTAAACCTGTTTCAGGGTTCCGAGGAAAAAACTGTTGTGTACGTGGTTGGCAATCCTGGCCGTCAGCACTGGCAGCACGTGTACACTGCCGTGACCAGGGGACGCTGCCGTGTCTATGTTGTGGCTGAAGAGCTGCACCTCCGGAGAGCAGTCACTAACAAGAACGTGCCCAGAAAAACTCGCTTACAGAGATTTTTGAGAGAGGCAATTTCAGAAACAAGCAGCTGTCCCAAACAAACGTCCTCTCCCCTCATGAAGTGCCGGCAACATCAGGAGCTCACGACTTGCTCTGTTTCTGCAACTCAAGGTGCTCCTGACCCACCTGAACCTCAGAGTGACCTCATGAATCAGGAATGGTCATCAGTTCTCAATAAAGAGCAGACAGGCAGTTTGCAGCAAAGTCCTTATAAAAGACACCAAACTCTTGCAGCTGAAGATGCTACAAAAATACCCCCTGTAAGTATGTCCTTACTGAGGAAATTTAGAACAAACTTTTGCACTCTTACCACTACAAGTCACCTGGTACTGGTATGATTGTTTTACCCTTATTTATTTAATAATTTTCAAGATGATCAGTAATTGGTGAAGCAATCAAATTTGGCATATCTCTTTCCAGAGTAATATGACTAACATGGAAAAATAAGTTACAATGTCAGTAGTAGTAAATTTATACATCTTTTTACTCACTTGAGTGATCCATTGGCCAGCTTAGTCTATATTAGCTTATTCTTTGTGCACAGATGTCAGTAGTTACGTGACCTGCTGTGAAAGATATATATAAAATATAATCATTGAAGTTGATTTTTATACAATCAAACCTACTTAACAGATGCTTTTTTTCATTACATCTAATTTCTGAGCTCTGTTATAGAGCTTTTTTTGCAGATGCTAATATATTTTAGGTCTGGTTCAAACTTCGATAACACTTTTTTGTTTTGTTCTGACAGACAACAGTAGCAGAATCCCCACTTGGATCTTCTAGACTTAGGAATCTAACTTTGGGACAACCAGTTCCTAGGAAGCTCTTCAAAAGCTAACAAACAATTATTAACTGTCCTCGTTATGAATCTTTATTGAACATGTTCTGTTCAAGATGTTTGGAACTGAGAAGCTGAATATGCTGCTACTTTTCAAAGGGTTTCCTGTTTTTGCACGTTCTGTGAAGAACAGCTCGTTTTACACTGCGCCTTTTACAGTTTCAGTGATCCATTTTTAGTATATTCATTGGTGTACTGGTCATCAAAAAAATCACATAATTCTTCTGTTTTGGTGAAGAATGAACTTACAGGTCTTACAGGATTCAGATGTTCCCGTGAAAAATACATGAGAATGTATTTTGATTTAAAGACCCCAAGCTTTCCATACTAAGATTTATCCATCTCCTAATGCTACAGCATTGATAAGACACTCTTATTCATGTGCCAAAACTTGTAGTTTGCTCTTGAGTAAAAAAAACAGTTTACAAAGGGGACTTTAGGTTTTTCTAATGTGGTAGATTTATGGGCACGAAGCTTTGATGAATTATGGCTTTTAATCTTGTTATAAATAGAACAAGAAAGTTGCAATCAGTGCCAGAAAATTTTCCCCACTTTGTACTTGAAAGAGATGTAGAACTTGCTATTGCTGCTTTAACTAATAGTTATATGCTGCTGATGATCTGTAAGAGAAGAAAAATTCCAAGTCAGAGTCCAAATAACATTCCGCTTTCAACTTTTTCTTGTGTACTGTGTGACCTGCTGCATTGTAATTTTGAGATTAGTAAGTTGAATGTTAAACCAAAACATCAGACACTAAAATGTGTCTTACCTTTAACTTTATATTTTTTCCACATTATTTTTTTCCACAGTTTTAGCAAAAAATACCATGTTTATACTTATACCATGTAGTATACTTTTCCCTACTCTATGTGAAAAAAAAAAAGTAGAAAAATAATACCTCATTTTAATGTCTTTAAATCACTGTTTATTTCAATTTTTACAGTTTTTCCATACAAATATTTGCAACAGTTTGAATTTCAAAAAACATAACATAGACGATAAATATCATGCTATTAAAGTATTAAATTTGTACAAAAATACTTTACAGTTTAATACTTATTTGTTACAGATAAAAATACATATTTAAGTGACTCATGAACTTTGTTTTGTTTGTGGTTTTTTTACATGATTCAGCCTTAAATGTCATTCTGACCTTTTCTGGCAGTGCTGAAATAGAAATTGGAGATACTTGTGTGTGCAGGGCAGGTGAGCTTGTTCATGTATTGGAAATAGTAACAGGGATACAGTTAAACAGTTTAAATTGACCAGAAACAACTCTGTAAGGTGATTGCTTAGATATGGAGACTCTACAAATGTACAAATCCAGTATCTTTATATTCACCAATAACAATAATTACTAATAACAACTTGAATACCAGAATAAACCAAAGCAGCTGCTGGTGAGAATATAGAGCAACTGGCAGTATCTTATTGCTTGGGGGGAGAGGGGAGAGGAGAGAATTTGTGTGATGTGTTTGTAAAATATATTTACAATTTTAAATTCTAAAAATGCGTCACAGAGGGTAATGTTTATCATAAAGAAGGCTGAAAACAAAGCATATTAAATAGGACCTTTGTCCCTTCAAGAAATTGTTTGACTTAAAAAGCTTACGTGTGACAGTACAAGTTTACAGGTTTATGGATCATTAAAGAGCTTTCATATCAATCTCCACGGACATTGTTTAAAAAAACACCATTTTCTTTTAAAAACCTTTCTAATTTGTCTGAACTCATTTCAGTTTTACTCTTTTCAGTAATCCTCATTCAGAGGTTTTATCTGACTAAAAAAGTCTCTGCTTAAAAATCCCCACGGGTTGCAAGACATACCATTAAATACTTCATTGCATAGGGAATAACATGGTTCTAACAAAGTTTACCGAAATGGGGCAGTAACGTTCACTGCAAACTGCAGCCTCCTGCAAGCATTTAGTTAAAACATCTAAGCCTTGCTTTGTCTGATAAGTGCACCCTTCTTGCCATTTCACAAGAAAACCCAGTGCAGTAAACCACTCTGTCTTGCCCATCATACAGCAGCACCTTTCTGATAAAATGTTTTTTAAAAACAATGTAACCTGGACACCACTGTTTGTTAGCAGAGGTTAACTCCATGCTCTTCCCTCAAACAGCTGCTGCTGCTGAAGGAAGAGGTACATTTAGATCATGTTTAAAACATCTCCCCAGTTTCTTATTTGGGGGAAAAAAAAGGCCCTTATGATTTTTCTTACTGTTACTAATGCTAGATTGTTTAGAATGGAATGACTTGACTTAATGAAGAATTAAACTATTTCAAAAGTAACCATGGATTAATAGAAGCTTTGAGACAGACAGACTGACCTCCTGTGCTTTTCAGTGCTATACAGCATCTAAGCCTCAATCTGAGAGAAATCTTAAATGGATTTAGCACCATAATTGTCTTTTGTTACCGAATGTCCCACTGAAATGGTTTTCTGCTATAATGTATTTGTAGGATCCCGTGTCTCTGTATTAACATGAGTGTGTCCGCTCTGCTGAAGGAAGGCATTATTTGGGTCACTCCATTCCCCACTCGCTGAAGGATGTTCTGAGCTTCCTTTCTGAGATGCCAGTGGGTTTCTGCTAATAACCAGTTCTAGCTTGTTGCCAGATTCTGCAATGAGGGGCACAACTAGACAGCAGTCAAAGTCTCTGGTGCGAACATGGTTTACCTGAATGATGAGAAGATTGATTTTTGTTACCATTCTAGGAAAAAGAAAAAGATTACAAGAGAAACAGATTTATCCTTGAGACTATGGAGACTGATTTAATTATTCCAGGTAGAGAATCGCCCAGTACAAGGCTGTTTACCGTGATGTCTCGTCTGAAGACATTAGTTAAGTTTTCTACTCACTCTTTAAACAGAATGTAGCTGAAGTAGGGATATTTACACTGGTGCTAGCTGTTGGCAGCTGTCACAATGCCCACTCCATAAAATGACATTTAACAGCCCATAGTTTTCCGTCCTTCATGGTGTTCATCAATTTAAATGCAATACAGTATGTCTGAAATTTCAATTCAATTCAGGTCTTCTCTGGTTTTACTTAATATATATAAATTTATATAAAATATTTTATTGGGCTAGTTGAGAAATAATTTAGTTTTTTCATCACAGTCCAACTTGGCACTGTGATAAGACTGGTGCTGAGTGAGTATTACGTTACTCCAACTATGTCATTCAACACTTGGATTAACACAGAAATAGTTCTCAGGTCTGTAGCAGGAACAGCAAAAAAGACAAATCTGTATGGAAATGCTTTGAGAAATTCCAGCTTCCTAGTAAGCATCTGTATGTCTCCTTTGGAGTTCTGAAATACCTAGTGTTCTGAAAGAATTTGTTTATATAAATATGACTACATATGACTTACACTAAATATGACTACTACACAGGAAAATCCAGTGTTAGTGCCACTGCATAAAAGCCCAAGCCTCTGTGAGTGCTATCTTTTCTTACCAAGGCTCTAAGAAATCTACACAGCACAGCCTGTAGCAGAGCAATTATCATCATTTGCCCTTCTTCCTGCCCCCCATACACATCTTTTCCCTGTAGAAATACAAACAGTAGCGCTCATTATTTAAATTACAATAAGCAATACAGATCACAGGGCTGTTCCAGATAAGTGATGAAAACACTTTGTGCAGTTTTCTACAATCACATCTACAAAGAAAACACCCTCCAGTATGGTTACAAATCTTTTTACAAAGTAATCTGTATGTCATGTCCCTTCCTGCTAAACCTGTGTGGTGCCAGAAACATTACCTGTAAAAGTCTATCATATGGTTTTAAACCTCCCAGATCGCCAGGGCCAGCTGGTCGAATGTTTTTAACATATACTCCTTTTTCCAGTAAACCATCTGAGACACTGAACCCAAAGTCTTCTCCATCAGAGTCCTTGTACAAAGTTACCTGTGGGGGGATGTGACATGATGAGAAAGAAAAAAACAGTCTGTCCCCAGTTCTACAAGCATTAGGCAGGCTTTCTTCCTAGGATGGTTTTGGTGTTTTATTGTGGTTTTTTTTTCCACGTTAGAGAGATCACTTACCTACTATTTGGTACTTACAGTATTCAAATTGTCCCCATTCAGACATTATGTTAATATTCTGAAGTTGTGTTGGGAGGTTTACGTTGGATATTAGAAACAGCTTCTTCACCCAGAGGGTGGTTGAGCACTGGAACAGGCTTCCCAGGGAAGTGGTCACAGCACCAAGCCTGACAGAGTTCAAGAAGCATTTGTACAATACTCTCAGGCACATGGTGTGACTCTTGGGGATGGTCCTGCACAGGGCTAAGAGTTGGACTCCATTATCCTTGTGGGTCCCTCCCAACTTGGCAGAATCTGTAATTCTGTGATTCTCAGAAGCCACCTTACTCTTCAGGAATAAACAGCCCTTTTCACTTCTGCTTGTCCGTGGGAAATCTGTGGTATTTAACCCACCTTTCTCTGGTGTAATTTTTTTGAGTCTTAGTTTTTTGTTTCACTGTTTTCTAGCTGCCAGGATCTGAGTACAAGATAAGGTTTAGTTTTGTTTCAGGTATGAAGACCTGGCCTCAATCAAACAAGTGGTTTTGTGTCTTCCAAAACTTCCAGAGGGAGTAAAGACCACTGGCACTGTAAGCCCTAGAAAGCCTGTTTTTGGCAGGCAGTGGTCCAACCCTGTAAAGCCTAATCTCAAAAGCGCTCAGTATAAGAGTTATAATGCAATCTTTTAGGAAAGTACAAATAAGGCTCCTTCTGAAAGAGCTTGCAGGCAGTGTTCTTACATATAGCCATTCAAAAGCAGGAAACAGAAGTTAATGAAACTGTTAGGAGGAGGTTTTTCAAGTGTTCAGAAGACAAGTCCTCACAGGTAGTTCTGTGAATTTGTCTATTTGACAGAAAAGGATAGAGATTTCTTTGTAGGTAAGTGGCATACTTAGGTTTTAATTTTTTCTTGGTTCTCCCTCACATCAGGAGTGCCAACCTATGCAAGTAAATTGTGTGAGTCAGTGGTGTACCATCTGACTGACACTGATGGTGTGTGCACAGATAGAGTTGCACAGTCAAACTCATGCTTTTACTGCTATAGCTAATGTCACCTTGGATTTAAAATACTGGTTTTACCATACCTTGACTGATAAAACCGACAACATTAAGTGTTCCATAATTTTATAATGGTTTGGTACTAGTAATGCTCCATGTGCTGCATCTTTGTGTGTGACAGCCACCAAATTGCTTCCTGATGTTTCTGAATTGCGGAATCATTCAAATTGAAGGTGACTTTGGAAGTCTCTAGTCCAATCTCCTGCTCAAGGCAGGCTGAGACCAAATTCAGATCAGGCTGCTGAGGTCAGTATTTCATAGAAGGATGCCAAGGCACAGCAGTACAGGAGCACAGTGCTGGTTGGTGCTACCTTAAGAACGCTGCTGAGCTCCTGCCTTAACTGCCACTGTGAAAAGGTAAGCAACAACAGACCAGGCTGTCTCCAAACAGGACTAAAGGGGGTTGGGTTTTTTCCTGTTGTCTGCTGTTTTCTTGACTTTACTTGGCTTTAGGGTATATAAACAGTGTCTTAACTATAGTGAAATCACACTCATTAGTAAGTTTGGTAGCTGTCCAGGGCACAAATTGTGAAAAGTTAGATACAAGGGCAGCTGCTGCAGCATTAGCACTGTTTTCTCTGTAGACATGGATGGTGCATTGCTGGGTTGCATTGTATCCATATCTTGTGCCGTGGTGAGCACAAACATACCTTGTATTCATCCCTTACTTTATATCAGCTCATCCTCTATCCTTGCTTTTCTCCCTTTGGACAGCACTGCAAAGCACAAAGCCACACATAAAGTGCCTTTAACTAAGCCAAAGGCTTTCTTCCTGCCACTGACTTTTTTGGATATGAACTGTCATTCTAAACTTCCTAGGGGCTGCGGTGTTTAAGGTCTTTGCCTTCTTGTCCGCAGTCTTCCCCCAAAGTAACTTCTTGCTGAACCTGTCATACATCCTCCACCTCAGTGTGAATTTTAGGAGTCAATGGGCATTTCAGCTACTGAAAAACGTATCTGCAAATTCAAAATAATTTACCATAGAATGATTTTAATTTGTATCAACAGCTACTACAGCAGCAGGACTCTGGAGAAATTCTAATGATTTGTTATGAACAGAGCACATCTATCGTGATATCAGAGCACATCTAACATGGCTTTGATGTGAAGTATATTTGAAGCTGCTACCAAAGTACTGTAAGGCCACCATTCTGCGAGATTGAAAAAAAAAGATAAAGGAGGGAGATATATTTTACTGACAGATTTGTGTGCACTGCCTGGCAGAAATTAAAAATAATTAGCACTGGACCAAGACCCAAATTCTCTTCAAACAAAGTTTTTTCCTCACCATCACAAAGGATAGGAGTGTTTCAAGTTAACAGCTTCTTAAGGAAGCCTTGAAAAGTACATGAGGAAATGGAAGACAGTGTCTAAGAGCAGAAGACTTAAAATGTTCTGTACTGTTCTAGCACAGATAAACAATTTTCAAAAGGGAAGAAACTTCCCCTTTTCACTTACTCGTTTTCTTTTCCCCTTCCCCTTTCTTCAGGCACCAGAGTCAAGTGGAGCTGGATCCAGCCCCAGATGAACTACAAAAGCATAAGAGACAGGGGACTCTCTGAAGTCATCTAGACTGTGTTCTTGTCCTAAGGCAGGATCAACTGCACCTAAGCCATTTCCGAGAGAGATTTATCTGCCCTGCTTTTTAAAATCTCTAATGATGGAGACTCCACAGTCTATTAAAGTAATCCCTTTCACTGCTTCAGATGTTTTCCTTGGGTCTGAACTAAATCACCCTTGTTGAGGCTTTATTCTCTCTTCAGTGATGTGAAATAAGGCTTGTTTTACTCTGGACTCTGTTCAGATGCTCAACATCTTTCTTTGATTTTCAGACCCCAAACTGGACACTATTCCAGTCAAAACCTTTTTAAGGCTAGCTGGAGTGGAGAACAATTCACCACAAATGGCAGTTTCATTCATATGTTCATATGTTCTATGACAGTGTTGCTTTTTTTCCTGGTTTTTAGAGAGCGATCTATTAGCAAACAAAACACACATAAATTCAGCTCTAGAGATCTATTAGGAAGAGCTATTCAACATCAGCTCACCTTAACTTGTGTCTTGTCTATAATAATGGACATGCTAGTTCATGTCCACCTTGTGAGACAAAAAATGTAGCATTTAAAATTATAAGGGGCATTAAAGTGGGAAGTTACTGCAATGGAGGGGGGGAGGCAGGGGACAAGGAAGGGCACAGAACTTGAGAATGATCATCCAATGTCTTTTATTGCCCTCCACTTGTTCAGGTTGGACTTTCCTGATTTATAGGGACTGAGCACTCTGGAAGGGAATTACTGCCCCACAATCACATCTTTTATATTTCAAAATACTTTCTCATTTTTGTGGTTCTTCAGATTTACAGATCCTAAATTTTTAAAAACTGTTTTCCTTATGGATATCTTCTCTTGACTTTGGTATATTTAATACAAGCTTAAAGAAACTGATCTTTATTCACTTAAGAGATGAGGTAGGAATTTAACTTTGTTGCATGTTTGACAGCTGTCACATTTTTTAGATGGAAGTCATCTGCAGAGAACTTTCTTTTGGATTACTGGTTATCTTTTTGGGGCTACTTCTTTTTAGGGTAGCATATATTCTTCAAAGGAAATCTCAGCTCTGCTATCTATTGAAGTACTCAATTTTTATTTAATAATGGGTATGGGCAAAGCCCTACCACACAGGTTTCTCATCTTCACTTGCAGCGGCCCTGTCTGAAGGGAATATGGCTGCATGCAACACCTAAATCATGCTAGTTTATCTGTACTGCTGATCATAACTCTTTGGAAGGTTTGATCTCAATAGCAAAATCTCCATTTGGATGATCTGTTAGACTTTTAAATTTACATCAGGAACCTAAGGGAAAAAGAAAGCTGAAATGGAAATTTAATTCATGTTTCATAAGCAATTAAATAGTTACAAATTTAAAACAGAAGCTTACACATTTTGAGTCTGTGTTTGTACCTCTTCTCCCTCTCAAATCTATGGGAAAATGCTTAATTTAAATTCATACATCTTGCACAGATCAGCTATTGAGATATTTTAACTGCCTGTAATTTTAGGTTAATGACTACTTGTAATAATAATATTGAAAAATTATCTGATCCTAGTGCATATTTTTGTTCTCAGAGGAATGTGTGCTCTATGAAACTTAAAAAATGGTCTGCTATGATTTTTAGAAAAATATTAATCTATATTATTACCTAAGTAGATAAAATCAATTAAATGCACTCATTAAATTTGGGTACTGATATGGCAATACACTATCCAACTAAATTACATGCTATTTATTACTTATTAAACCATCTAGCACAAATGTTTGAAGAGATTTGTACCACACTTATCTCAATCCTAGCTTCCTCAGGACATAGACAGTTCAAATGCACAACTGGTGAAGGCAATGCAGTGAACTAAGAAAGAGCAAGTGAAGAACTCAGGTTAACTTGCTGCACACTGAACTCTGATCTATGGGGCACACAGGCCCTGACTCAATAGGGATGCAGAATCATTGCACCGAGAGAGAACAAAGGTACCTGCCCAAGAAACTGGGAAAGCTCAGCAGCACGTAGTCAAGTACATGACTGAAAAGCTTGCCAAGGTAAGTCTTAGGCAAGCTATGTCTTAGCTGGTATTTCAGAACTGTTTGTACCCATTAGAGTTTCCCAAAACTTCCTATTTTTGTCAGTGGCCCAGCTAATTAAGACATTTGCCTGCAGAGGACAAAGCACATTTGCCAGCAAGACGATACATAAAAAATACTTCAATCAAAGCATTTCCCTGATTGAAGTCATTCCTGTGGCATTGCAGCTCTTTTTGAAAACTATCATTGGACAAGCTGTCCATGAGAAGTAGCAACTGTACAGTTATTAACCTAGAGGTCTACAGGTCTAATACAAAAATGAAGGAGAGAGAAAGTAACAGGCTCACTGCTACACAAGAACCAGTAAGAAAACTAACAAGTAAGAACTTGCTAAGATGGGCATGAATACAAAAGCAGTCATGCTAGCTGAGTTAACCTGCATGTGTGATCACAGGGGTAACAAGCCTACTTTGGGGAATCAGACCATAAGATCGAGTCACTAGTTTCTATTTTTCTTGAATGACTGTAAGGATTTGGAAAATCCTTGTTAGCAGTTCAACTTTTAGATTTTTGGAAAAGAAATTACTTCTTCCTGGGTGACAAAACAGACAGTAAAAGCAAACTTGACATGACTTCAGCAGACAGAAGTGGGTATATTGTCTGAATGAAAACTGGGAATTACTAAAATGGAAGGTCAAAGCAATCTTAAAAATAGTGGCTTCAAGTGAAACCATAGAAAGCTCAAGGATAGGGTATTTTGTACTGCTCAGGACTCTTAAGAGCTAGCTACTATCACAGAATACCACTGACTCATTAACAGAAATCTGATGACTCCTTTCCAGAAAAGGATTTATTTTATCCTGAAAGGCTGGGTTTATAATCCATAGGAGAAAACTGTGCCTTTGCTGAATGTGAACACACTATGAAATGGCTACTGGCGTACTTTTGTTTTATATCTCACATTTATTCACCACTCAGGAAAACTGAGCACAGTAACTAACTCCATTAATCACTTCACATCAAGCTGGAAATATGAATAGCTTAAACCATTAAACACATCCTATTGGTTCTTTACATGGACGATGAATTCATTTACCATATATGAGATCAATTCTCTACTACCTTCTACAAACATTCATTTAGCCCCTACTCAGTGAGTCCTTACCTTACTGAACTAAATTGAATGAACTACAAACACAACTCAGTCAAATCTGCAGTGACTAGAAACCAAACCAAATCTCTTGAGAATGGCCACATGTGATGTCTTAATGAAATTTCTCCATGCTTCTGCCTCCTGGAAAGATCTCGGACTTTTAATGGGAAGATGAGTGCAGGAAATGAGATGCTCATTCCCATCAAGGAGAACAGCATTATAATGTCCCTCAAGGTTTTGGAAATTGGTTCTGTTATGGCCTCTCTGGACTTTAGACTTAAACTTGCAGGGTATTTGCTGTGCACATCTAAAGATACTTTATCCAGTGCTTCCTTGGGGTACAGAGCCACTTCCATATCACCAGGTGATTCCAACAGACTTGAGCAGTGAAATGCTGCATAGACTGAAGATTATTTATCCTTTTTAGAGCAAAGGAATTATAAAGAGAAAAGAAGCAATATCTAATTTGAAATAACATTCTATATTATGTACATCAAGTCTCATGTATTTGATTCAAAATGAGTGTTAATTTGAAAAAAGACCAATGGGAGCCCCAAACCCTCATGAGTAATTTCTAAAGAAATGTATTTTCTAAAAATTAAACTTTGCTTTCTTAATGAACACATTTTGCAGAGAAGAGTTATTGGTCTTGTCAATTCAAATTACCACTGGATGTTCCTTTCAAAAGAGCAGTGCCTTTTGAGGATTTATTGTAAAATGAAATAGTAGACAAGGATGCATCTTATTTGTTTGTTTCCCCCCACAAGGGTCTATCATTAATGTGTTTGTAAGAACTAATATGCATGGCCCCCAAATTATATCTGTGGAGTCATTATAAAAAGTGCTTACTGTGTTGCCATATAATTAGATTCCCTGTATTGAATATATTATTTCAAAGTTGTCAGAAGAAAAATTACAGACCTTGTGTAACTCCACAGGAGTTGGTGACATGATTTCTTTCATTTCTTGCTTAAATTTTCTCAGAACCATGGACTTTCTCCCCACATCTGATGGCAATGTGTTGCTACGAGTAGCTTGACTGTAATGTGGCCTTACAGAACTTCTTTCCTGGAAGCTGGCTTGTCTTCCCAGCTGGTTACGAGGTTGTGGGTTTTCATGATTCAAACTCATTGTACTTCCTGACATAATTGTGGCCTAGAGCATTAATGAACAGGTTAATTTGTAACAAAGAATGTGGGTTAAGTAAGTGGTTAATTCATAGCAGTAGGAAAAATGTCTCTATTCTTTGTTAGAACACAAACACTCAGGGCACAGCAAAAGGCAAGAGGATAGATGTTTAATCTGCTTGCAAGTCACTATAAAATAGAGGACCACAACAAAACACAGCAACAATATATGAACCCTATGGGCAAATGTTTTCAGATGGCATTTCAAACTAAAATACTGAGCACTAGAACAACTATGCTTGTAAGCTAGTCCCCTGGCAGACTGAAGAGTGTGTAGTGTAATTGCTTATTTTAAAAATATTTTACACATAAATAAAATCACATTTAAGTTGTGGCATAATTGCATTTGTTGGAACTGGAGTTATAGGAAGGCATTTACAATTCAGACTGTGTGTGCAAGGTAAAAAAATGTGAGTCAGCAGAACATGCAGGCAGCTCTAGAGTTATCATGGGCAGAGAGCATGCCCAGATACCACCCCAAGCTGGGGAAAACAGTGCAGGTAAGCTCACTGCCTGAAAAGAAACTCTGCATGACATGCATATTGCAAGAGTGACTGCCTTAGCTTAGTGCTAATGCTGGCCCCTGTCTCAGTGCTGGTTTTAATCTCAGTAAAAGCTAGCCTTTTGTTTTAGATGCAAGAATATATGGAGGATGAAGTCTTGAAACACAATGATGGGAATCACCTCATCCACTGGGTGGAAGGGACTGACATGAAAAGCACCCATGCACAACAAGGGGCCTCCTCCCTTGTAAAAGATTTTCTGCTCCTGGGAATGGGAGGCAAATGCACTCCAGCACAGACACTGTGCAGAGGTGCCACTGTAGGGTTAGGGTATGCGGAATTTCCTATTTATTATCTCTTCCAACAGACAAATGAAAAGGGAAATTTAAAGACGATAATCTGAACTCTGACTGGGACTGGATGCAGGCAGCCTGCTTGAAAATGAGAAGTAAAAAATAAGGGCAAAACAAGGAAGTAAATGTTTGCTTATGACTCTGGTGAGCATGTCCGTCACCCTTCTTTCTCCCAGCTCCAGCACTACTTTCAGTATGAGATAATAGACTGTAGCCACAACAATCTCTCTTGTCCTCAGTAATGACTGATATTACTGCCTGATGGAGCAAAAGCATCTAGAGGACTTGGCAAACAACAGTCTTCTTTGCTCTTTGGCTGAAGACCTTGAAATGAAAAATGATAAGGAGTCCTTGACTACGCAATGGCACTCCATAAAAAAGAGGAATTGCCATTCTCAGCATCCTGTCATATTGAATGGGTCTGGCTTTCTTTTCAGAGCTGGGAGTTGTGCACTGAGGTGATGCTGTAAATGGTACAACATCTACAGTTCTGAATTTCACTTTTGTGAAAGGCTGAGGAAAATTCAACGTGTTGAAGTAACTGAATTCTGGTCAGCATGAATGACATACTTCCCTTTTGGAATTATCTATTTCCATATCCTTTTATTATGTTCTGAGTACTGAAAACTGCAAGAGAAGCCTGCAGTATTAAACCATATCTAACTATGTAATTAAACCAGTATAACATTTTCTCCTACATTTCTCTGGTTTGCAATAACAAATAAATGAGAATCACATTTTGCTACCTATACATGCAATACAAAAGCCGTAAATCTGAAGAAGTAAATTAATCTGAACTGAAAAACTTTCACGCAGTTATGCCTTTCACATTCCTCCTGGCTGCTAAAGGACTTTATGTAACATAAAAATGAAAATGAGATTCTGCCAGTTTTGCAGCTCCGGGAATTTAAAAGAACATAAAAGAAAATATTTTAGGACCTTTTATTCCATAGCTCTAAGTGGCAGTATAATCTCAATTGTTCTGATTAGACAACTTAGAGAAAAGATAATTATAAAAATAAAGACTCAAAGTTACTCTGTTTCCTTCCTCCTCTGCCCCCATCACTATCTAACATAAAGCATGGTTAGATTTGCAATCAACTTCAAAATGAAATGTAAAAATTTGTTACATAGTGAAGAAATCGCTGTATAATGAACATTTCTCACATTTGGCAGCTTCTCTTTTTTTCAGAGTGGTAAGATTATAGGTAAACATTTTGAAAAGCTGATTTTCTTTTATGTTCATCTTAATCAAATTAAGTTTCAATTTAAAAGACAACCTACAACATGCTAAGAAAAGCTGCATGAAGCGTCTGTCAGAAAACGGAATGCATAGCTGCAGGAAGGTTATGCTCACTTAAGAATGTCTGTGCCATTTGCTGCCTCTGCAGACAGCATCGATGATTATGCACAGCAGAAGCTGCAAGTCAAAAGCACTGAGGTGAACATGTTTATAGAATTTTGGTTGCATTGTACAAAAGAAAACAGCTCTGGTTAGGGGCAGGGGAGGCAGCTGCACAAGCAAAAATATAAAGGTAAAGGGTAGGTACCACGAGAGTCATGTTTCTCAAACACAGACGCCTGTCAGCCTTGTCCTGTGGAGGCGGGTTAAAGCTTTTAAATGAATTGGTGTGATTAGTGCAACTTAAAAGAAAAAAGGAGAAAATAAAATGAATGTCAACCAAACCAAAACCATTATATTTCTCTATAATTGGAAAGAAAGGTTAAGATTTTTCTACCTCTAGTTCCCTCAGAATTCCTGACTGGCCACAGGTCTCTAAATCCTCCAGAGCCTGAGACCAGAAATTTTCCTCCTGGTCAGCCTCGGTGTTATCATGGGTACCTGTGAAGCTAGATTTACAATGAGAAGTTAAAAAAATGTGGACTTTTTTTTCCCTCTAAAAATATATATTATACACGTGCCTTGCCACAGATTGCAACTTGAATGACAGAACGTTATGCAGGAGAGTGGGGAAGAGTCGCTGATCAGGAGAGGCCGGATGGACATGCAGAGCACATGACAGACAAGCCTTCTCATAACCTGGCAGTCACTAGCAGCTGGCAGGATCTGAGCAGCGAGTTGTTCAGTAAGGAGATAAATGGATTCCAAGAACAATTCAATACACATTTTTACTGGATTGAAACTGGGACCTCCCTATGAAAATTAATGAATCAACCAGTAGCTGTGTGCAGAGCTGCTCCGTGCAACAAATATTTGCAATAAAACCTTTCAACTTCACAGACTTCTCCCAGGCAATATGGAAAGACTCCTCATTTTTTTTAAACAGTGTTTTGCCAAAGAGGGACGGTGGTGCTTTTTACCTGATTCCTTCAGCCTAAGCTGCATTTATCATTATGAGTTTAAGCCATCTGACTGCCATAATATAAATTGCTCCAATAATTTCATACATAAACACAGAGAAACTTTCAGGGATGCAACTGTCTTGCATGGAAACTTAGGTCTCTGGTGTTTCATAAATGCACCAAAGCCTTATTACAAGCACTCTTGAGCAGATGTTGGTGACAGTGATGTTAGGGAAGTTGCTCAGCAAGTGAGGTCTGATAAAAAATGCCAACTCTGGGCTGCAGCAACACAGCCCAAAGCAAAACTACTACAGTGTATGTGTGCATACAGGGGAAGAAGCAGGAGGTTTTTTTGGCAAGGGGAAGCAGCTCAATAAAGGTTCACACAAACATCAGAGCTGCTGCATGGGAGAGGGCTGATTATGTGAAAGGCACAGGGGAAGAAGGATGAGGAAGGAAGGAATGACAATTCGCCCTTTTGGTGGCAGCAAGCTGTTACTTTGGAGCAGCTGCCCATGGATTGCAGCTAGTGGTGCTAAACAGCACATAAACAGAGCAAACACTATTATGGAAGCATCTGAGGCCTTGCTTGACAAACAGTGTGCTACCGAGAACAGCATGAATGTAACTGTTTACAGAATAGCTTTTAAATAGAACAATTGCCCAGCACAAGGGACGACAGCTTGAATGCTTCACACAGATACTCTGCCTCAGAGATGCTTTCTTACAGCTGCAGTCAGTCAAGCAGACAATGGTCAGCCATTTCAATCTCTTGTTGCAATGATTCTCCACCTAGCATCAGTGTCTCTTCTAAGATATTGCAATAGATACAGTAATGGTGAGAATACCTACTCAGATCACAGATGCAATTCCTCCCAGGCAAGATAAGAAAGTATTTAAAACATGATTTTAGAACGATCCTCGACTTCTGAAATGTGTTCTTTCAATAAATCTAAGTATTTCATTCAATAGTGAATGTTGAATGTAGACTAATTTATCCATTACAATATCTCTTGTTACACTGCACACTATCAAATGGAACTTGAGCTAATGAATACGACAATTTGAGGCAATTGTCTGGGACAGTAAGTCTGGATTTCCTAGAACTGGAGGTCCATTTCTTCTCTGACTTCTGTGAAATATGAAATCATGATGCCTATACATCTGGACCTCTCAGCTGAAGCAATTTCTTCTTCTGCTCTCATCTCCTCTTTTGCCCTTTTTCTGAGGTTTGTCACCTGGTGTATGAAATCTCAATTTTTGCATCTTCATTACAGCCACACGAGTAATTTGTAGCTGAGCTACTGCACAAAAAGCCAAAAGAGGTACCAAAATAATTTCTCATCAAAACTGCTTTTTTACCTGAAACATGAGAGATTGATTTTAAGTCATATGATATATGACTTAAAGTTCGGATGCCTAAAGATGCTGAAGGAAATGTAGTAGGACAGATAATAAAGACCTGGATGTCTATGATTTGGTTCTTATTGCCATATGAGAGACAATTTTTTTTTTTTAAATCAGAAGGCGATAGGATGTCTTAGGATATGGCAGACTCATTCCTGTAAGTATTGTTTTAATGTGTAAAACATTATCTCTGGAGCAGGAACTGTAACAGACTTGTCCTACCTGGCAGTGATAGGTAGACACCAGGCTACAGAGCAGTTTAAGCTCTCTGGTTTCATTCGCTTGCCCACTGAAATTTCATTGTCCCTCAACGGTATGTTAATGTGGTGTTTTCTGCTTTTACCCTGTTTTTCTCATTTCAACTGTTCTTCCTTTCTTTCTCTCTCAGGCCCCCCACCACCCATCTCTGCCTCAGCCCAGCTGGATCTCGCTTTTGTGCACTTTTTGTTTTCCTACCTGGATGTATTCCACTCTTCCAGCTGTCCCCCACCTTTCCTTTGCCCTCCAGAGGCACCTTTCCACATCTTGCCCTCTTTCTTCGTGCTCCTGGTGCTCTCTCCACCTGATCTTTCTACAGAAGTTTGCTTTAAATGGTTTTCTTGATTCTCTCCTGATGTCTCAGTCTCCTTCGGTTGCCATATATTCTTGGATGCTGTGCTACACAAAATAAAGGTAAGAAAAATTACTTTCTAGTGTTAGAGAAGAGAATAACTTGCCTAGCTAGAACTAGAAGAGGTGCTTTTCTGGGGATCCTTGTAACAGGCTGGAAGAATAGATGTGCTCTTCTCAAACAGTCCAGCACTTGGTATAGGAACATCATCAGATGTGGCACAATCCATTTTAGATACAGGGTTAAAATAACCATTATTTTAATTTGTAATTTACTCTCAAGAGTAAGTCAAACTGACAAGCAGAACAAGACTCTTTAACGTGCATACTTTCTGCTGAACAGTGCCTTAAAATGGTAATAGAATACATGCTTTTGATTTCCAAATTCTGTATTTTACAATCCAGCTTCCTGATTCACTGCTCATCAGCTTTTTCAGCCCATTACTTACATAGCTGCAAAACAGTAGGTGTTCTGGAATCTTTGGCTGCATCTCATTTGCGAAACAAAATATGGACTTTAACTGCAGATAGAGATGCTGATATTAAAGACATTAGGTTACCAAGAATGGGCAGTATGAAGAAAGCTATCTTAATTTCCTTTAGTAAACACTGTCCACTACTAGCCTATGAAAACTTCTAGTGTGGTTCTGGCCAGAAGGAACCAAAGGAGCTGGATATGGACTAACAGTTCACGCTTGTCCAGATCTTAGCAATCATTCTTGCCAAGCTTGTCTCCAGAGAAAATGCCACTGAGCAATCAGCTGTATCAGAAGATTTGTCATTCAGATTCTGAAAGCAGCATCTAAACTTTGCCTTGATTTGTATTTCAAAGGTTACAGACTGGACCTTATGGATTTACTTCTCCAGTCTGTTTCTATAGGCATCAGAAAGGTTTTCTTTAGTACTCAGTTTGAATTTTCGCAGACTGGGATTTCAGGCTCATAGTGCTGGTACACCAAGAAAGTGTTATTTCTCATGAAGGACATGCAAGCCTGCAGGTCCTGAGGATGGGTACAAAAAGTACAGAAATCTCTCTAACTGTGATGCATGTCTTCCCACATCTGAGGAAGAACTGTTTTTTAGCTGGAATTACCCAAGCCTCTGCAGCGGTTCCACTAATGATCAACCTTAGAATAGGAAAATAAGAGACATTTGGGTCTTTCACTATCTCCAAGAATTGTCAAGTAAGAATTCTTCCCTCAGGAAGTTCTCTTGTCCGCAGAGAAATTAACTGAAAAGATTTACTTCTCAGAAGAGGAGGAATAAATGCATGGCAAACTACCATAGCTTTGGACAAGACATTTCTACCTGGATCACTTTTTTCTCCTACTGAATCACTGTGGATGTCTCAAACATTTATGGAAGAAGAATTCTTGCTTCTTTGCCCAAACCAAAATGAATTTTTATGGAAGACATAAGATTAACATGCCAGTTGTCTTTAACCACATTATTTGTAGCCTTATTTCTGTGGAGTGGAAAACAGATCAGATTTTTTCTGAAGCTTGCCCAGGGAAATGCCCTAATTTTTTTGTTTGCTTATTTTTAAGAGATAAATACAGTGTTTTTTTAGGTTGAAGTAACTCAAAATAAATATATGCCTTGGTTTTGGCATCATAATCCTCCATAAAGATCACTAATCTACCCTAATAAGTTTCATGAAGTATACTGTATCTCATATTTAAAGGAAGAGCTCTTATAGCTTCATTAGAAAAACATAATTTCATTCCAGCAGTTAAGTGTTAATTTGGGGCACTGATGCAGACGTGCACTTAAAACATGTCTATTTACATCTCTGATTCAAATTGACAGCTCCGGTACGTGTCCATTCATTTCCCGAAGGTGATAAAGGCAGTACTGGTGAACAATGTATCAAGGGGAATTGGACAAGGCTGTCCAGCAAATTTTACCATATACCACAACCTCCAGACACTACAGCATAACATCACAGAGCATTCTCAGTTGGAAGGGACCCACTAGGATCTCCAAAGTCCAACTCTTCAGTGAATAGCCCATACAGGGATTGAACCCACAACCTTGGCATTATTAGCACCATGCTCTAACCAGCTCAGCTAATCTCAGGGTTGATGCAAATCAGAAAACAGAAACTCATATGGGAACTTACCTGCTTACTGTAGGTCGATCCCATTCCTCATCACCCAGTCCTGTATCATGAAATGGGTGGTTTCGTGGTTTGCTTGGAGGGGACAAACTAGTCTGTTTAGGACTCCTCCATTCATAGGCATTGAAGTTGTATCCTGAAGCCTGATAGGTGTGTCCTAAAAAGATGAATTCTATATTTACAGCACTGCATATGTTGTAATGACAGACAAGCACATCTCTGAAACAGGGTTCTCTAGAACTTGCGGATTCATCATTGTTACCTTTTTTGTTCTTGCAGTTGTAGTCAGATTATTTATGATCTGAATTATGTCTGGAATTAGGTGTGCTCTAGAGCTTCTCCTGTGAAAGTCCACTGAAAGCAGAACCTTAAATATATCTAACATTGTTCTACTGTTTATGTCTCAGCTGCTTCTATGTTTAGTTCTAGACATTGCCACAATTTATCAATTTCCATTTGACATCCTAGATTGAATATTAGTGAATATATCCCATGTTATGGATGTGCTAAAACGTGTTAACATGGTCATACGCAACATGCCCAAAATTTAAGTTATTACAAAAAATGTGCTTTAGATTTACTGAAAAAAAAAAGAGTTTTCAAAGACGCATTAAAAAATACAACGAACTTGACTTTTTACATACCCTTTTTACTAGGGCTCTGAGAGTTCAGAAAAGGCCTGTCTCACAATGGTCCTGGGTACACATTTCCAGGACCAATATATGGCCCTGGAAAGCTCACCTTTCAGAAAGCCATTTCTCTATCACCCATTTCCAAATATCTCAAGGCTGTGTAAGTGGCATTAGATGGCCTTTATACCTGAGGAGTTTATTTCTGGGTGCTTTTATCATATATGCAAAGCAGGTATTACTTCAATAGTGTTTCTTTAACGGAACTAGGTACACTTTGAATTCCAAGTAGGAACCAGCTTCCCACTGATGTTATCAAGAACAGACAGATAACTGGTCACAAGCTGATCCTGATCTGGTACGTAAAATCCATTATGGTAGAGCTGAATATTACACATATATAATATCCTTCATATTGAGGTATTCCTTTTTGAGCTCTATAGTTGCTATTTTTTGATATGCATATTGGATTAGAAAGTTCTATTTTGTTGATGACTAACAACTATCACTGCTGCCACTCCTCTAAAGAGGGTAATTTGCTTCCATAAATCAGTCTAGACCTGTCTCCCTCAAATCCCATGTAACTACACAGTTGTGTGCATTTTCCAGCTAATTGGCAGACATTAACAAACTCCCAGATTCTAGGAAGGGTTTTGGTTGCAAAGATGTGACTGCTGTGAGGGGTAGCCTCCAGATTAGTAATGCAGACACATAAGACAAAGGTACAAAATGGGGTATTAATTCAAGAAGAGAAAAGATAGCTCACCAGCATTAAATTGGTAACTAACAGGATAAAGCATTATCTGGTGCTCCAGAAACATCCCCCAAACTCCTCAATTTTCTCATCCTGTGCTTATTGCCAAGAAAAGTTTGGAGAAAAGCCAAACTCAGTTTAACAGGTCAAGACAGAATGAACTTTAATAGAAATGTGAGCCACCACCACAGCAAGGGATAAAGGCACAAATCTGTTTACTCTCAGGCTGTTTAGCAGAAGTACCATGTATCCAGCCAAGTCTGGGTTGATTTTTTCAAGGGAGTTAAAAAAAAAATCTGCTTTGAGATACTGGTTTAGTTTTGGCATGGCACCTGAATCATCAGGACTCTGGAAAGCATTCTGGGCCTCAATCCTTTCCACAGTTGAACAATTTGCTCCAAGTATCATCAATTCACCCAGGAAATGAGAATTACTGTTCTGGCACATTTTCAGCAATATTTCTCCTTAGAATTTAAAAATATCAGAAGAAAATCTAACATGACTTATTTTGATAAATTGACCAACAGAGCTAAAAACAGAAAAGGGGGAAAATTCATCCAAACTCTAACTTCAGTGAAAAACTTATTTGAGGTAAGGATCTACCTGTTCAAATACCTGCCAGGTGGTGGGAATACATGCTTTACTAGGGAAGTAAAAATTTTTAAAAGAGTCAAATAAAACACTGAAGCTGCGTGTAAGTTATTTTTCTTGTTATCAAGAATATTACAAGATGTCTGTATCCCTCACTGCCTAAATAAACATGTGTTACAAACTGAGATTATTTGAAAAATTTATCTAAAACCATAGTCAAACAGAAGTAGAAAAAATATCATTATGGAAAATCATGTTTTTAAATAGAATGATTGTTTTCAACACCTGAAAGTTAGATGTCAATACTGCAGGAATGAGGAAGAAGCAAAAGATTTACAAATCATAAGCAATGACTCATGTTCCCCTTCATCAGTTTATAATAAATCTGTTGGCACTTAAAAATTAACTGCATATGGGCATCAAATTCATGAACATCACCAGAGTGTTCTGTGCCTTGCATTGATCTGTCTTTGAAGGATAAGCTCATTTAGTTGTGGATGAGCTATGGACCAGGCTATTCAGATGTCAGTAAAGCTAACAAAAGCCTGTTAATGTATTGATAAATGCTTTGTAACACATCACATCCTCATGAAAGAGTAAATCTGAGGCCAGCCAAGTGCAAGAAATCATGCTGCCTGGTGCGGTGTATGGTCATAATGAGACAGCAGCACATTACAAAGTACAGAGTTTAAAGTTAGTACAGATAGAAAGTTCTCTTTAGGGCAAAGGAAGGTCAACCATGAAGGCAATAATTCCTACTTTAAATGTCAACTGCATTCCTTATAGTACCTTGATTTCCAAAGCTGGTATCAATACCAGAGCCATCCCACGACTCTACTGCGCTGTCAACACTTGGGACTGTAGTGGAATAGACGTCCGAGAGCATGCCAGATTTCTGTGCAGCAGAGCTTTCATCTTCAGCATCGCTCAGTTCACTCATGTGACCCACGGGGACAGAAAATTTCTTGGGACTGGTAGCTGAATAGGATTAAAAAAAAAAAGGGCTGGTGGTGGTCATTGCTTTACTGCAGTTCCAAGAATCTGCTTTTTATTACTGACACAATACTTTTCCATAGATGGCTTAAATGCTTGTTAATCTGTAATAACACACGCATTAAGGACCACTGATGGTACCCCTGGCCACACTCACCATCTGTTTGCTTCTTGATTTTCAAGGTGACAGTTTCTCCTGCCATCTGTAATAAATGAATGGCTTCACTCAAAGGTTTTCCTTTCAGACTGCTACTATTTATGGCAAGGATTCTGTCTCCTATGTGAATTGCCCCAGTCCTAAAATAAGAGAGAAGTAAAACACTGAGAAGAGAGCATAAAAAGCAACAAAGGCAATTTCTTTGCATATTTGGAGCATGAAAGCTCTATCTCCCTTCCTTTCTTTCTTTTTGCTTTTATAGCTGTGTTAGAGAATAATTCTTTTGTTAGAAATGCTTGAGGCAAGTCACCTTTGTTGTAGTGACAATAGCAGAGCTGAGGCATGAAGATATTGATTTCTGTTACTGAGACAGTTGAGTTAATCACCTGTAGATGATATTCATTGCAGCCCACTTGTTTAAGAGCAACCTCAGACAGCTCACTAGGCTCTGAAATGAGTCAAGTTTCTGAAAGTCTCACAACATAACAAAAGTGTTGTGAGCAAGTAACCAGCTATTTCAACAACGTGGCTTTCAGGATGGGTCAATCAAGAAAAGAAAACAAATTATTTTTGTGTAAACACACTGGGTTCTGGCTGTGCATAGTATCATGTGTGCTGTAAGTTCTCTGGGAAACCACAACCAAAGGTGCCAGTTTGAATGACTCAACCAATCTTAGAAATAACAGGTGATAGAAAACCTTACCATTTTCATTATTCTCTATCACTTACCACAAGGAGCACTTTTGCTCCTCTGATAATGCTTGCTATGGTGTATGAAAGCACACATACAGATTGCAGTGGCAGATAAGTATATGAGAAGTTCAGATAAACTTAGACACATGAAGTGCTTTCCTCAGTTATTATACTGTACAAGGCTATTGGTTTTAAAAGGCTGCTAAAATGTTCCTGTGACTGAGCAGTTTGATTGATTAGTATTTCCTTGGTGATTTATAATAAGAACCGCAATTCTCTGCTCTGCCTTGTACAGTATATACACGTACATCCTGTTAAGATATCGCTCATGCTCCTGAGCTTGGCAATGATCAAAAAACAACAGCAAAAAGATTATAAAATCAGATTTGGATAATTATTAAAAAAACAAATTTCTAAGCTATAAAAATTAGCATCTTCAGGTAAACAAAACAAATCTTTATCTTGAAACATTTAAAAATAATTTGCTTTCCAATTTACCTTTCAGCTAATCCTCCTTTTGTAAGGCTGGAAATGATTATAGGGTCAAAGGGCTCTTCAGTACCAGAGATTGTAATTCCAAGAGGCCCACCATAGCGCTTGAGCTCAACAGTATAAATAATTGCTCCAGAGCTCTCCTGTTCATCTGTAATAAATGCCAAGGGGATGCAATTGGTTTCTTATGAAAGAGGGAATGAAAAAAATAGCACATTCAGTCTAGTGACTGGTAATCAAACAACATTTTCAAAGGATTACATTTCAGATACATTTCACAACCATATTCTATTATTTTGAAAAAAATTATCTATTGTCAATTTCTTCTTTATTGCCAAAACCTGGACACAAGCCACCAGAAAAACTTGCCTCATTCTATTAAGACTAAATTTTACTCTGTTTAAAATCTTTAGATCTTCTTTCCTATTAAAATATAGCTTCAGGCTATTTTGTTAGAAAATCACAGAATGGCTGAAGTTAAAAGGGACCTCTGGATGCCATCTTGGCCAACTCCCTGCACTAGCAGGGCCAACTACAGCTAGTTGCCCAGGATTGTGTCCAGACGGCTCTGGATGGCTCCAAGGGTAGAGACTCCACAACCTCTCTAGACAACCCGTGCCAATGTTTAGTTTCTCTCGAAGTAAAAAGTGTTTCCTGATGTTCAAACAGAACCTCATGTGTTTCAGTTTGTGTTCATTGCCCCTAGTCCTGTCATTGGGCACCACTGAGGAGAGCCTGGCTCTGTCTGCTTTACATCTTCCCTTCAGACATTCATACATGCTGGTAAGATCCCCCTCAGCTTTCTCTTCTCCAGTCTGAGTGGTCTCATCTCCCCCAGTCTTTTTTCAGAGGAGAGGTGGTCTAGCCCTTTCATCATCGTTGTGACTCTTTGCTGCACCTCATCCACTATACGTCCATGTCTCTCTTATACTGGGGAGCCCAGGGACTAGCCCTAGCACTCCTGAAATCTCTCACTGATGCTGAGTAGAAGGGAAAGATCACCTCCCTTGACCTCCTGGCCGGGATCTGCCTATCGCAGACCAGGAGGCTGTTGGCCTTCTTTGCTGCAAGGTCACATTATTTGGGAAAAGGCAAGTTACTACTATTGTATAAATACTGATACTCACCTGTTTCTTGAACTGAATAGGAAGTATTTAGAATTAAAGGTAATTCAAAAGTTTTAAACCCAAACTTCCTTAAAAGAATTCTGGCAAGTCAAAAGTCATTATAAGATGGGCAGCTGTGTTAGTAAAAGAATTCATAGTTTTGATGGACATGTTTTAAGCTTTTGAAACAGAATCAAAAATAGCTTCTGAATACTGAATTATCAACTAAGTTGAATAATAACTCCATTAGATATTACTTCATTATATTGCATGAAGTTATTTGAATTCTTTTGAAATTTTAGTTTCACCAAACAATCATAAGAACTGGAAAGAATACGTCACTGGGTAAGCTTAAATATAATGTATTTCCTTAAACCATACTCAATAGGTGTTGCATCATCAAGAAAGGTGCCTGTATTTATATAGCGCATGCTCTTTACATATTATTAATAAAAATCACAGCAGGAGAGTAATCAACTGCAGCATCTTTGAGTTTTGAAGTAATGTTTTAAAATTTAAAATGCCATATTCTCAGATCAAAATAACAAATGCTTTCTTGCTCATGTTATGATATTGGTATTCAGCCAGGATGACTGGTCTGGTGGGCAAATTTTCCTAGATCTGTGGGTAATGACATTTTGAGCAGTTCACTGAATGCAGAAAATGTCTAGGATGCACATTCTGTAAATGTTACTAAAACTAACTGAGACAAGTTAGAAAATTCATATGTTCCCATTTCTGTTCCTGTAGATAGAAAAGCTTTAAAAGGAAGAAAGATACCTACATCACTAGCAAAGGTTCAAAGTTTCTTTCTTCTAATACTGAACACAGTACTTAAGCAGAGATGGACGAAGACTAATATCTTTGGAGCCACTTTGTTTCTTCGCAATTTTCAGAACATTTAGTTCTTTAACTTCCCCCCACCCCAACTCTGATCTATTTCTTCCTTGCTATTCACATAGAGAATCAAAGGAGAGGAGAACTAGTGGTGTTTATTCAGCAAAAAATACTGGGATTTTCATGCCTACTTGAGGCATTGTCATTAGTGTTTTGGCACAGTTTACACCAACAGCACTTTATCCGACATGCTCTTTCCAGAAGCACCCAACTCCCAAGATGGCACTGGAAGCCTCTGGCTGGCATATAGTGGGCTAGCATGCATGCTGCCACTGTACAGCAGAAGAATGGCAGCTCATCCTTGCTGCTAAAAGCATTTATGGAACAACCACAAATCCCCTGGGATCTAATGTTGGTACTGTTTACGCAGGTGTGGCACTGACATGGTACAAGAGTTCAACTGAAGGATGAAAAGTAACCCTCCACGATAATTGAAAAGGTAATAGCCATTATGTCTGTTTTCTGGTTAGCTGTAGGTCAGAAAATTAATGGCAGAATGCTACGGTGTTCTTTCAGTGCTCTCCAGGCAGCAGCAATGTGAGCTATCCAATGTGGCCTGAATCCACCAGAAAGGCCAGTTTTGCCATGAAAGCAAAGAACGCTGATATTCAAGAAAGGGTGGTAGCCATTAGGTTAATCAGGAGATAAAATTGTCCTGTTTGGGAAGCTGGCAATGAAAATAGAGAAGAAAAAAACTGCTGAAAACATATCTCCATCTGCAGAGGAAATATAATCAAACGACCATGGTTGTGGGTCTCATGGTTTTGAGATTTTCCACCTTTCCTTTCCTGTGATACAATGCCTCTGCTCTGTTCACTAGTCTCGTGCTCTTCAGAGTTAACATCTGACCTGTACAGTGAAAAGGGCAAAGAGCAGCACAGTCTGGGGAGCACATGACATGTACTACCCTGCTGCTGGCCTCACCTGCACAGTGGCTCTGAGGAACACAGCTCTGAGACACATACAACTGTCTGGAGAAGGGAGGAGGGGAGGAGTTGGAGAGATAGCAGAGAAAGGAAAAACAGAAGTGTGGGAGAAGTTACTATTTCTTCTACATGGCTCTAACTCATGCTCCTCTCTTATGGTCTTTGGTAATTTCTCTGCAGGCTGATAATGAGTCTCCCAATTGAGGGGAAGAATTTGAAGGAGGGATCCTATGTACCAGGAACAGTTGAAAAAATCCTCTTGTGCAGGAGAAAAAGCAAAACTTCCTTCCCGTCAATCTTCTGGCAAATGTAGTTGCAGTTTGCTTATCATAAAATAACTGGTTCAGTTTTGCAAAGAAACTGTCAGTGAGGTATCCCTTGGGATGTATAGCCCATGGTCAGTTTGAAAAACCTCTGTCCAAGATGGACCAACTATGTGTAGCCAATCCCACCTCATCATCTGCAGGGAGCTAACCACAATAGGCAGTTCACTTTCCTTGATCAAAATTTACTTCTGAAAGCCAATTTGCACAAGGTACCAAATGCATCTGCCTTTGCTTTATACTGATCATACAGAGAAAATACTTAGTTTGCTTTCAAAAGCAATTAAAGGAAAAAAAAGAGTTATAATGCAATTCTAAACACTGGTTCAACAGTTGCACTTGATTTCAAACAATAAAGTGTGGCAGGTTGTAAACTGTCTTACAATAAAAAATTGCCTTTTTGCTGTAAATTGTATAGAGCTAAAGAGAAGTGAATCCACAGTTCATGCTTTTGTGTAACACTGTAATACAAATTACCAGCAGTAATAGTATTTATAACTGTCTTACTTCCTTTGCCACTATAATGCATAACAGAACTCACTTTATTATCTCCAGGTGTGCAAAATTATGGCAGGTCCTTTACTTCCACTGGGCTAATCAGACATGGCTCCTCCATCAGCTATTCAGCACAGCGTGTAAAGTACTACTTACCTTTAAGCATGTGAACAGTCATACTGAAAACAAATTTGTAAGTTTATGGACAAAGCATGCTTTGATAACCATGATTCCAACGTTAAAAGCAGAGAAAATCTCAATACTCTGATAAGAAACAGATCAACTTTATATGGCTGCACATGTGGGGAAACTCCCTTTCCAGAGAACTGAAGACCCCATTCTGCAGTGCAGTTCCTGCATGCAGTATAGCCAGTGAGAAAATTCAAAACTTTATAAACCACTAAAATTCTTTTTAGGTGACATTTTCTGATTATTATTAGCATAAACCAAACATATTTAGAAAAAACATTTTGCTAAAACTTAAATGTAAAAGAAAACCCCCATGTTCTAAAACTCCTGAAAATACACAAGACTCTGCAATAGGCTCATTGCTAATACCGGAATTATCTTCATCTTTGCGGATCTTTAACTTTACAAGGTCCTCACAGTGCTGAAGGATCTGGACAGCATCTTCCATTGAGCAATTGTCAAGTCGAATGTTATCTATTGCAAGCAACTTATCACCCAGTTCAAGTGTCCCAGTCCTGTGAACAAATGAACAAGCTTACATGAAAGTCTAGTAATATTAAAAGAAAGGTATTTTAAAAGGTATGAACATTATTTTAGAAAGGAGATGGATTTTTAAAAACTATTATTTCTTAATACACTGGACTTTAAGTTTTTAACTGTTTTTTACAAACAAACAAAAAAAAGCATCTCTTACAATCTCCCTCTGTTTAACTCTAATCTGGCTGGTTACACAACAGAAACAGATTTTTACCGATTGTCTTACCTGTGAGCAACGCTTCCTTTCTTGATATCAGAAATAACCAGAGGGTCCCCTGGTTTTCTGCTGGATGGAGCTGTAATAAAGAATACATACAAGCATTTGTTTTTATTTCTAGATATGCAGACGAGCTAATTATGTCCATAAGTCAACACTTCATACACATTATTTACCTGTATTATATTCCTTCCCTTCCTCTAAATTATATAATAAAACACACATATAATAAAACAAACATCAGCAACATATTAGAAGGACTGCATTACTAAGACTCAAAAATTAGAAAATTCCAGAATTACAGTGACTGGTACAAAGTACACTTAGTCTGATGTGTCTGAATTCTGGGATAGACCAGGACTGAACCATGTGAAGATATCACAGTACAGCTCCAATGATCTACCATAAAACGCTGTGTAGCTATAACACATAAGGAAGATTTTCTGTTAGTAGAACTCTTCAGCACAAGCGCTAATGATGATCCTTTGCCAGAACAGATCTTGTTTTATTATATCCCTGACCTACAGAGCTGCTCTGGCAAAATATGTAGAGTGGGCCAACCCATGTTCTTCACATCCACTTCTGTCCCACCCAGTGCTTAAGGCAGAGGTACAAATTTGGTAATGATTCCTGGGTGAGAAGAGATATACTTCACAATAAATGAGATGCTGTGGATAGTGGTGACACATATCACTGGGCTGATGAAGAGTTATCATGTTTGCACAGATGTAGCTTACATCGCACGGATGCTTGCTTCCTCAAAATAAACATGTGCCTCTTTTGTTGAGTAACCTTGTCCCCCTATACTGCTGCTGGGCCTTAAGCATTGTGGACTTTTCCCATCTTTGTACTGGGCATACCTACTATAAGCACTGGAATTCCAGCAATGGTCAATTAGTAAAACCCCCCACCACTCCTCTCTTTGCACACCTAACTCACCTCTTTTTTGAAGTATCCGACACTAACTGTTAATCTTCCATCTGTCCCTCATGGTTAAAAGGATGCTCTGCTCTTCAATGCCAGTCATTGCAATTCTTTACTGACTTGTGAAAAAATATTTGACAAGTTTCCCTTGGCCAGGAAATTCACTCAGCAATTTTGCTTGACTTTTGATTGCACAGGAAGCAATTAACTATCCCAGAAGACAACAACTACTGACTGCTTCCAGAGGACTGTTTCTTGGAGTGGCTTCACTGAATCCACTGTTTTGTGGGGTTCTTCCATTTGCTGACAGAAGACTGCACTGAAGATCTGATATGGTAAGCAGTGGGCTTAGAACTTGTGGGTGATGAAAGACAACTGTGTGGCACATGCTGTCTACCACTGGGAAGTGTGCCACTACAGCTGCTCTGGCCAAGAGGTGGTCCATGTGGTGAACACAGGCTGACTTTTGGGACTGTTGTTAACGAAGAGCGTGCTAATACTAAAACATTTCCAGGTGGTATAAGGCTCTCAGTTCTCCTGGAAGTGCTAATGGGCTTTGCTCATTTAGGGTTCTTTGACTGCCCCAAGTCATTTCTGCTCTGTGTACTGAGTCCTCTACATTCATTCACAGAGGGTACTTTTCCATTACGCTCCAATGCCTAACTGACAATCACCCAAAAAACTGCCCATATTGGAGGATCACCTACAAAATCCTGATGTCAGTTACTTTAGCAGCTCATGAATCTTCTCTTTGATGGAAAATGACAATCTTCACCTACAGCAACCACAAGGTAAATTAACAGTGATGTGTCCAGCACAATATGCTAACAGATCTTGTTAACCTTAGCTGCCCTAGCCAAGAAAGACTTAGAATTTCCAAAGGACCTCTTCAGGAACTGCTAAATAGCTACATTTCAAATGCAATGTCTTGAAAGTCCAGAAGACAGACATACAGGGACTTTTAAGAATTTTTAGAAACTTGTCTGAAACAGCATGCTTTCAGGAAATGTCTATGTTGCAATGTAGAGATCTGTAATTAACTTTTTGCAAGATGTGTAATTTTCACAGCTTGTTTATCATACTTTCATGCCATAGGTCAGCTATATCCTCTATAACAATTCCATGATTTTCTTGAATTCTTTGGATTTGTTTCACCAATTAGTATCTGTTTAAAATTTTAAAGTATCACTTTGGTGAATTTTTTTTTAAATTCTATGTTTTTACCCTCTGAGTTGCCTTACAAGTCTCTGAGGTTATGTGCTACCCACTCTACATTGTCTGCAGTGTAGGGTTTGAGTATTGAAATACTTTTATGAAATCGTCTTATCAAAATACTAGTACTTAAGAAAACAGTCCATTATTGTTGCAAAAAGAAGAGAAAAGGAACCAAAATGGGGGGAAGAGCACAGCTCAAAGTGGAAAGCCACAGAGTATCTGTGGATGCAAAGGGTATGATATTGCACATAAAGTTATCATAGTTTCAAACTGAGTAAGTGTTTACCAGCAGTATTTTGTCAGTTACCCTGGGCTGTTATTGGGTCTGGTGGATGAAAAGCCTTTTTGTAGGCACCAAACACATCTTTGTGTGGAATGAATTACCCCACGCTGACAAGCCCTTAATAAGAAGGTACACTTTGCTTTATTAGTGCTCAATGCTCATAACATACTTACTACAAACTAGTTGTGTTGCAGAGATAAAATCACTAATTATCTCCTGAACTTTTGTACTGCACAGCACCACAGCCTAAGATTGCCTTCCAAATACTGGTGAACAGATGCTGTCCCCAGCAAGAAGATTGAGTACTATTATCGTGATTTTACAGATGAGGAAAGGAAAGAGGAACATTTAGGTCAAAGTATGACACTTTTTGGTGAGCAATTTCAGACATCCACGCCTTTATATCTCACAGTCGTTTGTAGAATATAACAGCTTCTATGTCCAAAGCACAACTACTGGCATTTTTAGCAACAGCTGCAGATGCTCAGCTTTTCTGCAAGTGCAACCCCAGGATCTCAACAGTTTCTGCAGAAAATCAAGCAGCCATCTCCGGAAAATCTCCACCCCCAAAAATTAGTTGTCTCAGCACAAGTCTATTGCAGAGAAAAGGAAAAACACCCTAATTTCTCTAGGGCAGCATTAAACCATCTTGACCATGAGATCACATCCTTTGTCTTTCTGCAATCCTCAACCTCATTCATTATGCAGCCTCCATCCTCTTTGTTACACACCACTGCTTGAACTCTCCCCAGAGAGTTCCAGGGAGAAAGCAGTATTTGACCACTTAATTAAGATACTCTTTTAATGCAGGTTTGAAGTGACACCGTACAGCTTCAAGTCTCTATTTTTATGTTTAATTTCAGAATTTTTTTTGTTTGTAAGAGGCTATTAAAAACAAAGCACCCTACCACTCAGCCATGTCCAGCCTTCTTGTTCAAGTTCCCAGCTGCACCTACTCCTGATCACAGCTCAGTCTCTCTCCTCATCTGCTGTCTCCCTGCTATGGCTCTCCACTCATTTTCTCTCCTTATCCCCTTCTGCTTGACCAACAAAAATCTCATCCTTTCTGCTCCCTGACCCAGCTGTTAGTCTACCTACTGTTCAGCTTTTGCAGAGACTTTACACAGTCTGTATGAAGAACTACAAGTGGACCAAACAGTGCATAATGTTGTACAGGTAACTAAATTTAGTGTTGCAACTAAAAGGCTGATCTTAAGCAAGTTGTTTGTTCTCTCTCTTTAAATTACTGTATGATCCTAGGTCTCCATACCAGGTTTCTACCCTACTTCTACTACTACACTTCCTCTGCCACTTGAAAGAAAGTTCAGTGAAGTGTCGTCAGTTTTGTAGATCAGCTGTTCCATTAGGTTAAAAAACAATGCTTCTTTCTTATTTCACTGCTAATTAAAAAAAAAACAAAACACACCAAACCACAAAGTGACTTAAACAGATTTTGGAGTGGACATCTCACCTACCACCTAGCCAAAACTCACTTACTAATCTCAGCCTGGCTTCAAGCTTTGGAATTTTATCAAACTGAACAAACTAAACAAGCAGAGGAAAATGCTCATGTGATGGAAAAATATTTTTTATATAAAGTCAATCCATTTGTCTACATTGCTGGTTAACAGCTATTAGACATTTTTAAAAATAGTGTGATTATCAAATAGGTGAAAGAGCTTTTTAAAATTAAGACTGATGCAGCTCTTTTATTCCTTAAGTATTGGTACATGTGGAGCAGCTGAGAAATCTGCTGATTTTTTTCTCTGTCTTGAAAATAATTACTTGTAACGTTGCAAAATAAAGTAGGGTTTGCCAGGTGAAATCCCAAAATATACAGAAACATGCTTTAAAAAGTAAATTCTCATAGTCAATGCTAAATATCTGTAGATATTTACAAAGCTTGTTTCTGATGAAATACAAAACCGATATAGGAGACTATAGTATAGCTGCCAGTCAAAATGACTTAGAAAAATTGATGATTGTTTCAGTGAGATTCTGATATTCTTACCAGTTTTGCAGCTTCTTATTCCTTGAGTAGTTCCATTAGCTTCAGAAAGATTATTTATGAAGCAAAGTGCTGCAGTTCATCACCAGTAAGAATATCAGAATCTTACTTACTTAAGAAAGCAAATGAAAAAAAAAGCTGTAGTCTACAATTACCAGAATCTACTAGTAAGTCACTTTATTGGATATCATTCAATGTATTTAAAAAAAAAATTAGTCTATGATAAAGTAGTCAGTTGCCTCAAAAATTCTTTAAAAAAAAAAATCTATATTCCATTACATGGTCTAAAATCAATGTCACTGGCAAATAAATTGAAACAGATTTGAACACTACCAGATCTACTTGAAAGCCATCCTTCTTTTAGGGAATGGTTCTGTTATAAAAGCAGGGACATTGCTTTATTTTTTTTTTATATACATATATAAATATATAAATCTATATTATCAGTATATATGATATATTATTTATGTCATGCTTTATTTGGATTACATAATTTTAAGAACTGAGATATTTTAATGGCTCTAAACAGGTGTGCAAATAATGACATCTGAAGCATGAACTCCATAGTCACTTGCATTTGCAAACTATGAAATAAGGTCTTTATTGAGTGTATCTATTAATGGAAAAATTAGACAGATATTGCAGAGATAAGGGAAGGACGTCAGGAGTCCAGCGTGTGTATGAAGGCAGCAGTGGGCAAGGCCTACTGTGAGGTAACTGATATGCACTCTCCCGAACTCACAGCCCTCAATTAACGTTAACAATGGTGCTCCTGAAATTTTCTTCTCTTGCTTTCTGAGGGGTTTTGCTATCTATGGGGATTTTTATTCTTTCTCTATTTTTTTCTCTTGCATTAATAAATCTGAAACTAAGAGAAGTCTCTTCCCCTATTACATGCCTTGTTTTGCAAGGGCCATGAATTAGCTTGTCTTTATGTTGCATATTACCTCAGATATGCCTTCAAATACCTGGCTGTAACTCCATGCAGGCACACTTGGTGCTTATTATGAAGCAAAACATCACAAAGAAAGAAAAATAAATTTTGCTTACAGGATGCCTGATTCCTAACAGCTGACTTAGAAGTCCTGGACTTAAAACAGATGTATGTTCAGGTGCCAACACAAGGTAAGGTTACATTTCCCTTTTGACAAAAAATGTCTGTCTTGTCTCTCAGGTCAGGTAATTCTATGACTTTCTCATAAAAATCCCTAAGTCCACTAACTTGAGAAGAGAGAGGATGCAACAGTTCTATAGCACTTAAACAGATCAAGCCCAAAATCTGATCATCTGATCTGATCACTTCCATCACCCCTGTTTAAGACTGGTCATACCAACTCTGTCAAGTTTCCCTTAGTATTCGTGTTTTAAAAGAAATCATATAGCTTTCTGACAATATCAGTAATAAATGGCATGCTAATGTGCTGAAGTGCCCTGACAGGAACTTGACAAAATGAATATATTCTTATATTCTTCAAATGAATATATGCTTACATTCTTCAAATCAGACTGCCTCATTTAGGAATTAATTAGGTAGAACAGAGTGAAGTACTGAAAAGCAAGCATGAAATGCAGCAATTCAAGACTTCTACCAAGCAAACTCACAAACTTTCAGTTATTAGTATAAACCCTTTAAAACCAAGTAAATAATTAATCCTCTATACATTTCATGTGCATTAAATAGTACTAATAGGTGACACTATTATATATACCAGAAAAATTAATTTAAATATTAAAGATACTGCAGTAGACAGAGAAGAGCAGAGAAAAGACCAATCATATGTCACTCTGATTATATAAAGCACTAATTTTTGGAATTAAGTTCCTAGTCAGTAAAGTACACAAAGTTTGGAAGAGGAGTGCTAAATACTAAATTCCAAAAACATTAGCTTTCCATTAAAAGTTTATTCCTAAGACAAAAAAAAAAGCACATTATGTCTGAATTCCAAAAAGCAACACAAATCAAATTACTAGGAAGACCCTATTTTTTCAATAATCTTACAAACCACTACTGATCCTAAGAATAACATTTAAATAGAACAGCCTCACTCCAGGTTTTCTCATTTCCCAATATTTTCATTTGCACAAATAAATACATGTAGACCTATGATTTTGCTTCAAGCATCACATCACATCTGACAGAGTCTAACAGTTACTCACTCAAGTGTGCAATGCAAGCAAACAGGCCTGCAGTGTCTCTCATTTGTTCCTCAGATGTAATCCTTAGCACTGAGTACCCTGCAGTACTTTTGATTAACCTTATTCTATTGTGCTGGTAAAAGCTTTGAGAATACAAGTCACAGCACAGTCTTCCCCCAAGACACATGAATAATTCCAAAGAAAGACTAACAGTTTAAGAAAGGCTACAACCATAAAGGAATGCTAATTCTGATGACACCAGATTCTGCAGTGTCAGGCACAAGCCCATTAACTTTGATATGGATTGTTTTTCCTTCCATCAAGGGCTGAACTCAGTATGCCAGAGTTTACATGGTCAAAATCCAGTCCTAACACAGTGTTTACTATCTGCTAACAAAATAAGTATAAAAACACTTTGATTTCTAACAACAGTAACAAATATTTTTTGAGAAACAGACTAATGCAGACCATTGCTACCTTCTTTAGCAATCTCTAAAATCCTCATTGAAAGGGGATTTTGCTATGTGACCCACACATTCAGGACTGCCCACTAGTTCTACAGATTGAGATTCTGGGTTCTGAAGCAGAAAACAATCCCATGTATGTGAATCCTTATGCATGTGAGAACTCTTGAGCTACGTGGGGTTTCTGTTCAAGAATCTGTGAGAGACCATGGCAGACTCTGCTTTAAACTTCGCAGCCACGGAAATACTTTTGCATGGACCTAATTCTGTTGACTTCTTTTTTTTTAAATAAAAAAAATTTATGGGAGTTAAATATGTACTATGCATGAAGGAATAGGTCAAGCATTAGACCTGGCAAACTTCTGGCTTCATTAACTATTTGAAGGGAAGTATAAATATGTTACAGAATGGTATTTCATCAGAGAAAAAGCAGAAAAAGAAGCTAGAAAAAGGAAAAAGAAGTTTATACCAAAAGAAACATAAGTCTCTAGCCACAAAATCTAGTCTCTGCAGATTGTGTCATAAACATGGTCAGAAAAATAAGCACTTTACTCACAACTTATGGTGATGCCAAGTTCCACATTATGCTTCTTTGGTAGTTTCACATGAAATGTTCCACTGCTTGGTATAACTGATTCTATAAAAATATATTTAAAATGTTAGATAATTTATAAGGCAGAGCAATTCCAAGTGCATGGAACTATATGTGTAAATTGATGAAATCACATCAGAATCACATGGCACAGATGAAACATAGGTGCAGAAATGAAGGAGGTAGGACACAGGAAGTATGATTTATAACTCGACTGTTAATTTCACAGTAACTCAATTTTTTTTAAGGTTTAACTGAATTTGTGAAGATTGCACGGGCTAGCAGCCAGCTGAGACTGCAGGTTTTTAGCTCATATGCAAGTTTTGAGAGCACATGTGAAAATTTTACTGCTGGCAGATAACTTTTAATTAAAAGGACAGGAGGTTGAGTTGTAAGGATTTCAGGCCTTTGTTGCTGTAGGATTAACACTTTCTTAACTGTCCACTAAGGTAACTGCCATGGATTTTACATCTAGTGGGAAGAAAAGGAATCAAAACATCCATAATGGAGAAATGCCTGGAGCTGACAAGAGGAAAAAACCCACTTGAACACACTGCACTGTATTTGAGCCCTGACTTTTGGCATCACTGCTACCAAAGGTTTGGCCCTTGGCCTGAAAAAGAATAACTGAAATCTACAGCTGTGGAAACGTACAAACACACATGTGGCAGAGGACTCTAACCATGAGTATGAGTCTGCTATCATGGAGCAAATTAGAGAAGCACAAACAAGTGCAGGAAATAAAATACATGTGATTTCAAGTGTATTTAAGCGACTTTCTCATTATTGGGTTTTCATATTTTTTAATATTTTGTTTCCTATGTATATGAATGTACACACTTATTTGACCTTTTTTTTAACATTATACTAGATGGATGTCTGTACACCTAAAGAATATACAGAATTACAGTAGGAACCTTTAGCCTACTTTTGACATAATGTTTTATAATACCAAAACCAATAATCACACTACGCAAAATACAGCATATCTGACATTGTCATGACTAAAAAGGAGCTACTGTCAGATTTAATACAAGTCTTAATAGTTTTTACTATTCACATAGTTTGGTAGTGCACACATAATGTGTGCTTGTTTAATACACACAATTTGTGATTTTATAGATGTATTCTGTATGCTTAAACACATTACAGAATAAAGGAAAGTCATTAGTGATAATAAAGACTCACCAGCAACATTAACAATGACTCTTTCTGGCCTTTATTAATTCAGTTTCTATTATTTTATTTGGTTTGATATACTGTAAGTGAAATTCCTCAGAGTTTTCTGTTTATTCACCCTTTTATGATATTCTTCTGTCTAACAAAATATTTCAGTATTTGGCCTGTAGGTGATTTGTCTCCGCTCAGCAGATCATTTCTATCTCAGGGCAGAAAAACGTCCGGAAATATCTCAGAGGAGAGGCAGTCACCAGATCTTACTACAGGACCCGTCATTTCTATTTTCATTCTGAAGTACACTGCAGGCCTATGTGAAATGAGAAAGCTGTCCAAGAAGACATACGTTTCAAATAAGTCACTTGAAAACTGAATGGTACAGATGTGAGAAGAAAGCCTCCACCTTGGATGCCTAATACGTGTATACTTGCAATGTACTTGGGATTTATTCCTTCATTTTTCTTACAAGACAGAATAACAGGCCATTCATACCTGCAACATCAAATTCTATTTCCAAGGTGACCTTGTTGGTGATAGAGGAGTCTCTGAGCAGTTGATTGGCCTCATCAAATGTGCTGTCTTCTGTTGGGACACCATTTATTGACACTACTCTGTCTCCTATTTGCAGCACTCCACACCTTGGTACACAACGATACAAAACAATCATCAGATGTACATGTAACCAGAACCAGCAATATCACAGAATCACAGAATCAATTAGTTGGAAAAGACCTTTAAGATCATTGAGTCCAGCCGTTAACCCAGCATTGGCAAGACCAGCATTTCTGTGTGGAATTGCCACATCTACCTCCAGGGATCATGACAACCACTTCCTGGGCAGCCTATTCCACTGCTTGACAACCCTTTTCAGTGAAGAAATTTTTCCTAATATCCAATCTAAACCTCCCTTGTCACAACTTGAGGTTGTTTACTCTTGTACTGTCACTTGTTACCTGAGGAGAAGAGGCTGACCCCCCCGGCTACAACCTCCTTTAAGAAGTTGTAGGAGCTATAAGGTCTCCCCCGAGCATCCTTTTCTTCAGGCTAAACAACCCCAGCTCCCTCAGACATTTCTCATAAGACTTGTGCTCCACACCCTTCACCAGCTCCATTGCTCTTCTCTGGACACACTTCAGCACTTTAGTATGCTTCCAGAGAGGGGCCCAAAACCAAAGTCAGGATTCAAGGTGTGGCCTCACCAATACTGAGTACAGGGGGATGATCATTGCCCTGCTGGCCACACAGTTCCTGATACAAGCCATCTGATCAAACATGTTCAACAGTAACCTTGCAGGAGAACTGTTGCGTAGCAGCTCAACAGTCTACCCAGGCACAGAGGGACACAGAAGCTGCTGCCCCTTTGCACTAAGACTGTATTGAGCACTCCCAGCATGGGCTGTGCTCTCTATGTGCTAGGACCCAGGAAGAGGGGTCTTCCTGCCTCCACCCCACCCATGGACATCAACTCTGACCCTGGGCTGCAGGTGAAATGACAGCTAGTATTTGCCTGTGCAACTACCATTGTTCTCATTACATGATTAAATACATAGGTAAGCATAACAACACAATTGAAATGCTGCAATGAAATAATCAGTAAGTCAAAACTCTGGTATTCCCTAAAATTTGATTCTGTACTAAAACTGAACACAGCCTCTCCTCCCATGGCACAATTATCAGTATTTTGACATCAGTGATGGTTTTTGATTTTCTTTTCCTTTTCACATGAATACAGCCTCCAGTCTCCTGGTGGAGGACTCTGGATGATAAGAACTTGCCCCACTTCCATTGAACAAGGCCATGCAATTCGTCACAAATTGAAAGCAAGCAGTCCAAAGTACCCCAAGAAACACTCACCAAAACATACTTAGAAGTCAATTGAAAGAACCTCACCTTTCCGCCGGACTGTCAGATTCAATATAGGAAATGAGAGGTGGAGAAGACAAGGTCTCGGTAGCAAACACACTACCCTGGAGCTGTATCCCAAACCCTACTATGGGGTCAGCTGTCAGCACTACTTCTGTGGTTTCTGTGTGGACGACCTGCCCAGCCAAACCAACAGTGCTAGAGGCTAAAGACACTATAAAACAGAGCAGACCAGGAGGAAAAACATTCATACACAGCAGAAATTTCATTGCCTTTTGAGAAAATTCATCTGTACAGTAAATCAATGAATCAATGAAACATCTCTTTTAAGTCAATTTAGGCTAAAGTTTATAAATAATGTATAAACAGTTATGACATATAAGAGAATAGAAAACATCTGGTTGTACGTTAGAATGCAGAAAGATAGTTCTTGCAATGAGTAAAATAAATGTGTTTGATACCCCCACTCCAAAGATCTCAAAACATCCTTGAATTTTGTTTACATCAGGTTTGAGGAGTGGATAAGCAGAATTTTCCCAGGAGCTAAGGGAATTAGAGGCACAAGCCCAGCTGTTATTTAGGCCAATTTGCATGAGCTCTTTTTAACATCTCAGAGCAATGCATTGTTATTAGCAACAAAGCACATGCATCAGGCTTGTTTGCAAGAAGTAAGGATGCCTTTTTCTTGTACATGTTTACTACGAGTCAGCAAGTTGTCAGGTTAACTGGATATTGTAAGGAAGGTGAACAAACCCTACTGTTTTAGCAACCAGTATATCTCAAGATATTGTGTGAAAAAAAAGTTCTTTGGGGTCTCTCAAAGCCACTGGGGGACCCTTCTGTGAGAAACACAGGCAGCTACTTCTGTTCTCCTGATTTACTCCCTCTCACTCTTTCTATGAAAGGCTGTAGTACAGAACAAATCAAGACAAAAAAACCCGTTGAGATTCAATGCAATTACCTATGAAAGGAGAAGACTGCACCTTTGCTTCCTTGATCTCTGTCTAAATATCTACTGTATCATTGTTTGAATTCCCCCTGTGACAAACTACTGCCTTTTATTATGTCCTGCACAGAAAGCTAGAGTTTTTCTATTCCCATTCAGTAATGATAATCCTTCAGTGCCGAGGATTTGGAGTGGTTTTGTGTTAATAACCTACGCCATTACCTTTGCACCTCTAATTTCTCTCAAGACCCATTTCTGCCTGCAATAGCTACTAAGAATTAGGTAAAAGTTCATGGTTTATCTGAAGGATAGTTTTCACATGGATTTTTTTTTCTCTCAGATGTGGGAAAAAATTAATTCTTGATTTGACATTATAGATACTATTAGCACAACTGTACAAAGATGTCAGAGGTTATATAAGTATTTTTGGGGCTGCAAGCATTAGACTTTTGCTCTGAAAGTTCATATAAAATCTTATTGATGTGGCACAGTTGGCAATGACAGTTCTTCAGAAAAGTTTCACCAGCCAAAAATTTCATGAATTTCTGTTTTCTTCAAGCAAAGCTTCTTTCCACTCTGAAGCTGCCCAAATTACTGTGAATTTTCCCTCATATATTAATTTCCTTATGTAAGAATTGTATATTACTTCAGCTACTGAATAGCTTCCTTCTTACTGTTTCTTTTACCTGCACTCAGTAAGGCATGCTTATACACAAATGAAAATACTAATAATCTGTTCTTGGAAACTGCCACCAGCTTTAACATTTACTGCACATGAGAAAGTTTCCTCCAGCTCTCACTGCTGCAGAGGCTAAAATACGACTAAACCAAATAAATTCAGAGTTAATATAATACCAGATTCCCTAACACACCTTCTAGAAATGCCGAAATTTAGGGCATCCAATCTCAGAAAAGTTCCATTTTCCCTTTCTTAAAGGTCACATAACAATTACTTGTTAGCTTCATCGTTGTTCCCCATCATTTATGTGTCTATTCCCCCCATGCAGCAGGTATGGTATCTAGCTGACTCTGTAACTTTCTTACTCTTTTTATAATGCCCTACCAGGAATCTAAATGTCTCTTAAAATTTACTTCAACTTTTAGGACAGCTAAAGTTTTAATTCACATTGAGAAATTAAGTCACTAGCTATGGGATTTAAAACTCTGATAAACATTTTGATGATGTCGACATTTAAAAGTGACAATTAGAAAATCCTTCCACTCTCAATGAAAATGAAAGAGAAACAGGAACAAAAAAAAGCAGAGATAAAAATATCTTCTCCAAATTATGTAACAATAGCTATCTGCTAAGCCTTTATAAAATGTAACAGGTACCCAAAACCACGACTTGGAGAATGTTGTGGTTTGTAACTCAACAATAACTGCAGCAAGAAACACTTCCATTTTTTAGCTGCTTGAAAGATTAGAATTTTTACAGGCCAGGAAGCAGCCTCATTAATTTAAAAGTGACATGGATGTATACGTACTTCCAGTGAACCCTGGTTGCTACTGCTAGGGGTACATTTCAGCATACTTGTATAGTTTTTGTCTAACTCTTAGCAACAGTCCTGGGGGCTGGTTTGCTGTATGTCCTGAAGTTATGTAAATAATGATCTTGAATTTGAAGATTATGTACTTGTTATTTTTATTCCTGTAGTTACATGAGAAGCAGAGTAAGATGTATTCAAAGGTACATACATGGATTATTACGCTTCCAGAAACTGCAAAATGTTCACTATTTCTCCTGGTAGTTGCTGAGAAAACAACACCCATGCATGTCTAACAGCCTCTCCAATTTCTACCAGATATGGAACCCTAGTAATGTAAACTGATATAAATTATGTCTCACTTTCAACTACTAATGTCGACCTTTTACAAAATACTTCACAATTTAAACTTTAACCCAAAAATAATTTAAGTGTTTCCACAATGAATACCATACTTTAAAACAAACAAACAAAAGAGGTGGAAGAATAAAAATTGAAAACAAGTGGCATAAATAAAGCATGTGCCAGCAGGGCATGCCCTCAATTTTTACAACCACATTTAGAAAGATCTGTGTAACTAATGCAATGATTGTAAAATCACGGTCATAAAAGTCTTGTAACCCCCTCTGCCATCGCACTTCACCATCACATTACATTATGCAAGTTTTCTTAAATAATTGGCAATGTAAACTTTATAGCACCCTACATACTTTTCTTCCCAAGTGACATCCTTATAGATTTATTATAAGTTACATTAATACAATCCTCAAATGATCCAATCGGATTAAAGAAAAAATATCCAACTAAAATTAAGAGAGTGTGCTATTCCTTTTCTATGAAAAGGACAGCAGTCAATCTACCTGGTTCTCATGAGTCTCCCACAAAGGGAGAGGGGCAAGGTTTTCCAAGTCTTATCCCTGGATAGTGGAAAGGTACAGGAGCAGACGTTCTCTATCATGGTCACTTGTAGCACACTCAGAGTAGTGTGGGTCTCTTAAGCTGATTGTTACTACTGTCATGAGTACGGGGTATAGATCTAACAACAGAGTAAAGAAGTCTGCATGAACTTATAAGCGAGTTCACAGAAAGAGGAGGCAAGCCTGGTTGGTCAGCCAATTCCTCCAAAGCCAGTTCTGATTCAGGGCTGTTGATGTAGTCACTGCTTGTAGCAAAGCACAGACTCACTCAGTGATGGGGCCAGTTCCACATATTTTGTAATGTTCTATATCCAGACCTCACAATGCAAATGCATAATAAACTAACCCACAACAAAGCCTCATTCTAGCTTCTCCTAGCTAGAGATTTGTTTAATCATAGCAGCCTTCAAGGTCTTCTGACTTGAAGAATCTTTCATGTAGGTTACAGTGCTTATGTGACTGTCCCACTTACATGCCGTGTCACTGGTCTTGTTATGAGCCTTTGCAAGATAACACACCATAGGGCAAGGCTTCCTTGAAGGAAAAATACCTGAAGAACTTGATAAGTAACAGCTGTCTCCAAGATCCATAAAAGGACTAGCTTTCAGGATTTTATCCTTTGTTGAACAGCTAAAATATAGCACAACAGAAGAACTATTTTTTGCATTAATTTTCAAATTGATGTGCAATCAATTACTACTAATGTAATACCACTACTGTTTCTCATGTGCATGAGAACATGTGAGACCTGGACCCCTACTGTTACCAAAGTATCTCCCCATGACCCAAAAGAATGCAGTAGAAGCTAACATGTCAACAGATGAGCTGTGAAAAATGGCTGATCGGATTAAAAAGAAAAAATGCACTTACAGGCAAATGTTATGCAAAAATATTTGCTTTATGAAAGAAATAAGAACAAGCAAACAACAAAAACTGCAAGAAAGTAAAACCTCAGTTCCTCTCTAACGTGTCGTCACAGTTCCATAGTGACTGGCCTTAGAGGCTGCTGATTTGCTCTGATTTTGCTATGATGTGGGCAATCTTTAAACAGGGCAGCAGCACTGTAATGTACAGCAGCTCAGTTCTTCCAGAATGGACCTCTGAGCATTATTAACCAGAGCAGATGATTTATAGGGCAGTTCTCACCTCCCTGCTCCGGAGGAACTGAACTGCTGAGGATACACAAGCCAAAGGGAGAGGCGGCACATACATGGAGTCTGGGAAACAAAATGCTGACACAGCCATACTCTCTCCTGCCCTGTGAATACTCAATAATATACAAAGTGGAACAGCCTGAAATGTATCTACCCTGTCTTGGGAAACTACTGACTCATAGGAAATCCATGCTTTGAAGTCCAGAGATTAGTCAAACAAGGCTATTTAGTCCTTACTGTTACTTGTTGCTCTTCCTCACAAAAATAACTGTACAGGTTATGGTGTAGTTGTAAACATCAGAACTACCTAGGAGGTGCTGTGGCAAGTTCTCTGTCTTCCATAATGTGCTAGCTGGTTGAGTTTACCAGCAATATGTTTTTGACTATTCAGCTATGAATTCTATTCCCTAATGGAAACTGGAAGAGTTCAAAAAAGGAATCTGAAAATCACTTTGGTAACGGTACAACAAACTCTTCCAGAACTGTCTGAAGAAAACATTCCTTCATATATTTCAGATGAGACAGTTATTGCTGCATGATATCTGCTCATCTCCTTTTAGCACTGGACAAATATTTTTACGCTGATGTTTCCCTACATCCAACAGAAACTCCAATTGTTCTCTCTCCTGTTTAGGAGTACCTTTTCTTCTGTATCTTCCCCCTCCTCCACCCATTCACTGCACATTTTGAGCAAATGTTGTTACCACCTACAGGAGCTTTTGAAGTCCTTCTTTTTCATCCTCCGCCTCATCATTGTCCCACGTGGGCTGGTGGAGTAGAGGCTGCGAGGTAAGGTTCCCATGTTCAGGGAACTCAGGCTGTATGCACTCATGGAGGTAGGAGAGAAGGATGAAGACACCAGAGCTGCTGTAAGAAATCAAACACTTGGCATACAGCACTCAGTCTTCTGGGAAGAGTGCAGCACATGCCTGTAACTCATCAATGAATCAAACATTGTACGTATATGCTGTGTATGATACACAGGAATGGTTTGTGCATTTCCAGTAACAAAGACATTAAACCACACAGGTGACCCTAAAAAAAATATAGCCAGCATCTCATGAAAATACTCACTGGAAGCTAACAAAGATAATGTAAATACAAAAAGTACATTCATAGTATACAACTCATTTTAAGTGAAGCATGTTAAATTAAATTTTTCAACACATATCCACAAACCAATGCAGATCAGTATGTCTAGATACATTGATTTTAGAAATGCCTTTTTGTGGTACGTAATTTCTGACTAAAGATTTGTAAGCAGTGCTTTGCATTCAAAAATCATGCTTTATATACACTACTCGAATCTAATGGTCTACTCATATATAACAGAAGAGCTGATTCATTCAGAATTTTCAAGCCCTTTCCTGTCTACAAAACCTGCTTTGTTACAGAAAGGAAAAGGTGCAAAATGTCAGAAATAATCTTGGCATGGCTATGAAAAAGGATAGCATCCATAAAACTAAAAACATTTTAGAGCCTGAAATGGGAAAAGTATGAGTGAAAGAAGAGAGAAGGAAGGAGGAGGAAGAAGAAGAGGAGGAGAGAGTATGTCAGCAGGAAGAAGCGTGGAACATTACGAAGGCTTTTTTGAGGAGGCGCTTTCTGGAATTTCAAGGCTGGCATCCTGCAATGGTCAGGGTGGTAGGTGTTATAATGCTGGTAGGTGAGGAGGCTGCCGTGGCTGTTGGCACATGAATCCCAGGTAAGTTGCCTGTTGCTTCTTTGAACGTTCACTGCTCACATGAAGGGATGATGGAAAATCAGAAAACAAAAGGACCAGAGAAGAGGTAAAAGTAACTGAATTGCACAGACAAAAAAACAGAAGTAAAAGAAAGAAAAGAAATTGAAAATAAAATAAAATAAAATAAAATAAAATAAAATAAAATAAAATAAAATAAAATAAAATATAACCTGGTCTTGTCTTCTTATTGGGGCTTGATAACTCGAGGAGTAGAAATAATATTTTTTCTCAGAAAAAATGCTTCTTATTGTTTGTGGGGTTTTGCCTTTTTGTATTTGTTTTAAAAAAAGATGTCTAAGGAATCAATTTCTAATCTCACTCTGGCATAGTAGCTAAGATTGCAAACTTTCTTAGAAAATGCTGTTACTATATATGACCACTAAATGAAGGTTAGTAAGTCTCTGCTTGCATTCATCTACTTTAAAAAGACCAACCAGGTACTATACATAGCACTGCCTAGAATGAAGGTGCTTACTTGCCATTTCAATTTACTGTATTGACATTTTAATTTTGCCACCATCTATTGTTGATATTATGCTATTCTGTGCAGTAAAGGACTTCCCCAGGCCAGCAGCTGGAAAACTCTATCCCGAAATAAAGAAAAAACGTCTTATTGGTTAGTTGGAAGTGCAATTTAATGTTGGGGTTTTTTTAACTTGATCTTCAAAACTTTGAAATGATCCTTCACTGGATGAAATTTGAGACTATATTTGACTGTTGATTCTATGTATGTGGAATCTGGGATATGTCAAAAGTGAAGACCAGTATTTACCAAGAGAATGGGAAACATTTTAGTTGATTTGTCAAATCTTAAAGGAAAGTGACTGAAGTCACCCTAGATTAAATATAGTATGCCATCATTAAATTCAGCATGTCTCTATCCTTGCTGAACCATAAAGGAACAGTACAAACTGGGAACTATTCACTGAATTTTTGTTTTAAAACACCAAGGGATTCACCCATACTACAGAATCATAGAACAGTTTGGGTTGTAAGGGACACTAAATATCATCTAGTTTCCAAACTCAGTGCTGTGGGCAGGGACACCTTTCACTAGACCATGTTGCTCTAAGTCCCATTCAACCTGGCCTTGAACGCTACCAGGAACGGGGCATCCACAACTTCCATGGCCAACCTGTTTCAGTGCCTCACCATCCTTACAATAAAGAATTTCTTTCTGATATCTAATCTAAACCTGCCCCTTTTCAGTTTCTATGGAAGAGAAGCTGCCATCTTTGGCTCATGAGCTGTATTACCTGTGTCTCTCTCCTCTCTGCTATACCTATAATGGCTGAAGACAGATATGTTCCCATGCTGGATTTTAATAGCAGCCCAAAACCTTGAGCATTTAAGCTGGACCCACACCTTGTGTTCACATCTTACTCCATGAGACAAAATAAGTGCAAAAAGGGTAGCCAATGCAGCAAGCACTGTGCTGTGCCAGAAGGAAAACATCATTTTGCTTCATACTACATGAGTAATGGTCTGCTAATTGCCTGACCATACTAACCTTCCTCTGACTCAAAAGCAATGCCTGTCACTACAGTGTGAAGTGCACACCAGGGAAGGGAGAGGAAAAGGGGAGCACAGGGGCCCACTGTGTCCCTGCAGCCTGGTGGGGTGGTGGGGACCCTAAGGCCCTGGAACTGCCAGGTCTGACCCTGTGCCTTTGGTTGGATTTCCCAGGAGCTGTGTCCCTCCCTGAGAGCACCCTGTTGTGCCCTAGCATGTGTTTCAATCAAAAGAACTACGTTTTTTCCCCCAAATTAGATATCAAAGGTGAGGGAGGGGTGCAACACCAGCACCAGGCCAGCCTGGACCCCTGGGGACCACTGGCATCACCACCCTCAGGAACTTTGGAAGATCTCATGTAAGCCAGAAAAGTCCCAGAAACAGCAGCAGCAGCAGCCTGATATGGCCATATGTATCTCACAGACTTATTGTGTCTTCTCAGGTGAAACTATCTCTTTGATTACATGCACAGACAGTGAGATTTCTGAACTATGGTGCAAAAATTAAAATCTGATAAGAACAATGTGGCCAGGTAGATTTTCATTATTTTGAAGCTGCTATAAGCCTTGTTTAATTAAAAAGACTGCTTCCAGCAGGAAATTATCTGGTAGTCTTTGAGACCTTTTAAAAATGTTTTATTTTCATGCTGAGAGTAGAGATAAAAATGTCCTACAAATTGGGAAGGTACACATATTCAGTTTGCTCAGCTTGTAGAAGGATAATCCCAGTTCAACAAAAGTTCTGTAAAAGCAAATCCTGTTGTGTGTAACCATAGTAATTTAGTGGTAATTTGAGCTATTTCAACCCAGCATTGTGTACAGCAAACATAAAACTAATGGGGCAGCAAGAGAAATGAATGTCAGCAACACAGTATAAAGGAAAAAAAAAACATGAAAAAAATCAGATCTTTGATAGTGCTGTTCATTTTATTTTACAGCTAAAATTTCAATTTATTTTATATACTGACTTTTCGTGTCCATTTTAAATTCTTAACATGTTCCCACAAGACCAATAACTGAGCTCAACAGATACAGCCCTAATGACTCAGCTTATCCCAGACACATAAAGGGAGATTTTTACTCTCTGCAGCCTCTAGGTCATACCACACCTGACGAAAGGTTGTTTCCAGGAGACTACTTGCTTCCATAAAGCATTTTATATCCTGAATTGGTCATCCTATTGGAGCAGCACCACCTGGTAAGGGGCTGGGTAGGGCTGTAAACATCCTATTTATTCTGCCTTGTTGAAAGCAACTGCTTAAGAAAGCAACTTTATTACCTTAGGGATACTTTTCCCCAAAAGATGCCCTTATATATCATTCGCAGATCACTTTGGCATGATTTTGTATCAGCCAGTTCTTAACTCTGGCATAGCAAAAGCATCACTTTTTCTAAGCATCTACACTGGGTCAAGGTGCCTAGAACATTAAAAGCATCAATCTGTTTTAAATGTTAACAAATGAACTGCTTCAAGTAATACAGTCATCTACACAAATCTTTGGCTCTGGCACTTGTCTTCCCAAAAGAAACACTCTTCAAAAGTTCTTTAACCAGCCAGAAATTAATTGTGTGGCATCTTTACTTCAAAAAAATGAAAGGTCTGTTTGCAATGTACTGTCATAACTGAACAGAATGGAAATATATTGCAAAATTTGGTCTCCATCTCATTTTGCCTATGCAGTATCACTCTCTGCTCTTTTGTCCTTCTAAGAGCTTTAAGTAGAAAAGGGAAAGAGTTGAATAATGGAAGAACAAGGGTTACTTTTTGTTCATCCTGGTCTGCGAGAAACTAGTGTCTCCTCAGTCACTAGTTCAATGTTCATCACTCTTGAGAAGCTGACTAGAGCATCACTTATCAAGGGACAGCCTGGATCTTAGATAGATGTCCAAGAACATCTACCATCACTGACATTTATAGGCCTCAGAAATTTTGTCTTGGTCTAAAGGAGACAAGTACAGTATTACAGGCTCAGAAAATAATACCACTGCTTCATGTTCATGCTGCAACACAGTTATCTGTTATCTGTGTATTTGATAACCCTTCTTCTGTGTGTTTGATAACCCTACTTCTTTGATGTCCGTCAACATGCAGTATTTTAGACTGAATTTATGAATACTGTGAATTAGCCATTTTCTCAGGATGAGTCAGAAGACAAGACAGGCAGCCTCCATCTTCAAATACATAGACATTTTATATATATTTGATTTGAAAATGGAAAGCCATTCTATTCAAGAATGTTTGTTATGAAATAAATATCACAGTGTAAAAGGTCTGGGATCTAGGGAACTGTTTCCAAACAAACCATTTCCATAAGCACTGACAATGAACCCAAGAAGCAATCTCAGAAGTATTTTAAAAGATGACGGTAATAAATAATAATGTCATTAAAAAGAGAAAATACGGGGGGTAAGTATTTTAGGGGAGAACAGGTGTTATTAATGAAGTGATCATAACAGACTACCAAGTCAATATGCTGAAAATAAATTGGCTGTGGTTCTTCTTCCCCATTCTAAATTTAAGAAGCAATTTTGAGATTAATTTACTGAAGTACCTTGTAGCCCCCCCAACGACCGCAACAGTAGAGTCAACAGGTGCTTTACGTACATTTACAAGTATGTAGACCATTTCTTAGCAAAACATTTCCCTCTCTAGCCATAGGAATCTCGGAGGATACATTAAGACTGAGAAAACACAGACCTGCTCAGATATTGCAGAAGCAAAATGTGGGGAGCTGAAACAACATTTAAAGACATAAATGCTGCGATAGCTTTCTTGGCCATTCAGCAAGGGCAGGCAAAGTAAAAGAAAGAAAGAGAAAGATGCATTTGGTGCTACAGATCCTCTTACCGTGCTCTGGGCCTTTCAGTGCTAGCCGTGTCTGGTGATGAGGAAGGATCTCAAGTTTGACATTATCTGCTGCATTGGCCAAAAACTGTGTTGCTTCTGCCAGCGTACAGTACTCCATGCTGGTGCCATCAATGGACAGAATATGGTCTCCTACATGTAATGCACCACATCTATATAAAAGGGGAAAAACTCGGTATGATCAGGTATGCTCTTTGCTTGCAAAATGAGTTTTTCTGCCTTCAAACTGGTCATGACAACTATCAACGTGTTCTTTTTTTTCGAGAGACATTTGTGTTTTGTAGGCACTGTCACTGGTCAGACTTTATATCTATCAGTACAAACCTTAAAAACAATTCAGTTAATACAACATATGCCAAGACATCACTCACAGAACTGGAATGGGGTAGCTGACTTTAAAAATATGTGTGAATGGTAGCAGGATAAAATGAGAAGAGCTTAAGGAGACTTAAATAACTTGGTCACATATCCCTCACACAAGCACCCAGTTCATCATTTTTTGAGTTATAGTTCAAACATTTATTAGTACAAAAGCTGTAAATGATGATGAATTATGCAGTAGTCAAACAAATAATGAAACCAGGGCTAGCATAGTGACTTGAGGAGTAGGGTGGGAAGGGGGCTATCTGCTAAATCTCGCTGCACTCAAGAGACTGGCTACTGGATGAGTTGAGAAATGCAAACACAGCAGTCAGCATCCCGACGTACCAGTCAAGTGGACAGCTCCTTTAATTGGTTACCCCCTGCGAAATGGGAAAAAACAGAGGGAGAAAATTAAAGCATCCTGCACCATTGAACTGGAGAACACCCCTGGATCAATGGCCGTCACTGTCAAAGTTTCTACTGTAGGGAAAAGCCCACAGAGGAGCTGTAGACTCACTGCTACAAGTGGGTGCTACCAAAAGCACCATTGGCAAAGAGGAGTTACAAGGTAGGGTGACTGGGGACATGCAGGAGGAATTTGCTGCTGAAACGTAACATTTAAAAAATTTTTAGATAGAGATATGTATACAAGAATATACTGTATATGTATAAAGACACACACACACGCACGCACACACCCCAGAAAAGATCCTGTGGCTCTGTTACAGAGGTTCAGAGCACCGGGGAAAAATATCTATCTATATTTTTAATGGTTTAAATGGGTTTAATTAAAGGTTAAAATGAAGTGGAAAAATTACAGCAAAAGAACTTAAAAACACATAAGCCAGCCTTCCTAATACGTCACTTGTATTCTAAAATATCAATAAAAAATCCAGACATAAGTAGTTCCGTTTCACTGTGCCACAAGAATGAGTGATATATTCTAAAAGAACACTTCAAGGTTGCAGAGCCTCAAAATTTACTTCTCTTGACAGCTGTTCCATATTGTGGGCTTACTTCAAGAATTCCAGTGGGTTATTTATTTTTTAAATACTAATCTCTGCCATGATATTACATTTAATAGCCAGAGCAGACCTCTAAACTCCTGTGTTGTACAGTGCAAGCTGCTGGTCACATATTGCATGAGGCTGGCTTATATCACTGGATACTACATGAATCAGCTAAAGTAAATGGTGTCCTGGAAGCCCTAAACTTGTCAGTATGGAACAACAATCTGAGAAAGTGCTAATTTTAAGACATGCAACCTTGAGAGCATCTGGTTCAGTCATTTTATCAAAAAAGGAAAGGGTTCCTTTAAAACCAGACCAAACAGAAATAAAATGGATGTATGGACCTGCAGTGTCAGCCCTCTGTCACACTCACCTGTCTGCAATACTTGCAGATTTGATTTTGTCTATGACAATGACCTGTTTGTTGCAGCACATCGAGGTAGATAGTGCAACCCCAAGAGCAGCACCAGGAGTTTTGGCAACTTCAACTAGCAGTGGTCCAGACGCTGTTGCTACAGAATCTGTTAAAATTAGACAACAGAAGATCAGTATTATACCAATGTGGTATTGATGCCATTTTCACATTTTCCCCACATAAAATAAAATCTCCATGGCTATTCTATTTCTCTAACCAGATACTATGCCACTTCATGAAATTCTGGAATAGCATCAGTTAATCAGCTCTCAATGATGAAAATTATAAAAGCAAGAGGAAGTTTGTGACTCTGGGATTTCCAAAAGTATTTGAGTGTATCAGAATCAGAGATGGACCAGATGAGGGAACCAAGATGTGTTAGCAAATCATTCGCTTGAACAACTGAAGCTAAAAATTACCTGGAATATAAAACAGGAATGCTGCAAAACAGTAATTAATTAAAAAATAGAAGATTATCTGAAAAAAAAGAAAGAGTAACTGAATAGGTTAGAGAAGAAAGTTGAATTAAATTTTACAAAAGAAGGTGAAGGGCTGTGGACAAAAGCTATAATAATCAAATGAAGAAGGTGAAGAAAAGGTCTTCGAGAAATCCCTCACAAAAAGAAAGGATAATTTAGGAGAAAATTGTGAAGGTGCAGGAGGCATGACAGTTAGAAGTAGTAGGAGTTAAATCAAAATACATGTGAGGAGGTTCAGAAGATTCTTGTAACATCCTATCACTTGATAAACTACTACCTTGCAACAGAGCTTAAGTAGTAAATGACCAACGCTGAAAAAGAGAAAGCACAAAAATAGGAGGGAGGAACAGTCATGATCGATGACTGTGATGAGGAAGCATACCCAAGAAAGACAAGTGCTAGACAGAACAAAGCAAAAAGACAGCAAGCTTCTTCCTAAATACCAAAACAAAGCAGGTAGTGATCAGGGTGAAGTACATTCTGGAGACTGGCTGAGATCTCCTACTAATCAATACCCATGGATCAACAACTGATCTCAGTGGAGTAATATACAGTAAGAGGAGGTGTCCTTTAAGGATATAAAAAGACTGAGACAAATAAAGTAGTATCAGAAGCCTTTGGAAGACTTTACAATCAGAATAAGGAAAAACTGAATAAACAAAGACTTACGTTGGAACAAAGTTACCAAATGTCCTGCCAGCAAACGAGAGAGGTTCGTATTCACAGCGTACTGGAGCCAGCTGTGAGGATACGAAGACAACACTCAACCGTGATGTCTCAGAAGTCACTAAGATTGAAGATATAAAAGAACTGCAGCTGGGCTTCCAAGTATGGAGGAGAGGACAGATGTAAGATACTGCATTCAGGCTTAAATCTAAAAAAATAGTCCAAAAATGTAACACTGACACAGAAGAGACTGTGAAACAATACCATCATACAAAACTAGCATGCTATATAATGATACAAGAAATTGAATGCGTGATTAACACTCAGCTAAGGTGCTCTTCCTTGTTAGAGAGTAATGTAGGTAAACTGCATATAGAAATGAAGTGAAAAAAGGTGCATGGATGGAATTAACAGGCAATTTCAGAAAAGTATCAGTTAATTATCGGAGAATGACTCCGATATGACTCCTTTTTCCCCCACAACTTGAATTAATTTTTATATTCCTGGCGAGGTTTTTTTTTCAAGTTAAAAACCTGAGGGTTTGAAGGGGCGATTCAGTACTTTTGAAAGTGCCCATTAAATCTGAGTGATTATTTTTTAAGCTCAACTAGGACTGACTTTTTAAAGGCTGAACTTTCACAGACACTACCAAAATAAGCTGCTCCAAAAACCTGAACTTATCTTGAAATTCTGAGCCAAAAGAAGAGCATTTCTGCCTGGAGCTTCAAGCACTAAGTAGCTTTAAAGCTGGGTCAACTGTCCTCAGCAGCAACCTGTCTTTCTCTAGTAAATAAAGGAGTTTATCACAATTAAACTCATGTCTTAGATGTCTTGGTTAGGGGTCTAAATGTCTAAGTAAGGCAGGATGCATGCAGTGACTTGCATACAGTCAAATAAGCATGTGCAGCCAAGCAGAATTTAAGTATTCCCTATTCCCATTCCTGCACTGAGAAACAATTATTTTAGTCTTGAATGTTCCAGTGGTTTTCTGGAACTACAAACAAGTTTTTCATTTACAAACATATGGCAAGAAGATTCAAACAATGTTTGTCATCAGTACATTGACAAAGGTTTTAACTCACATTCATCCAGAAAATGGCAAAGCCCAACTTGTTAATGGCCTATCCTAAGTTCTTTCTGCAATGGTTGCCTCAAGGAGAGGAAACTAAATGCAAATATCTGTTGAGAATGTGTAAACCTTTCAAGATGCTGGTCCTTTTTCCAGTTACTTGAGAAACACACAATCAGCTTATGCTCCAGTGTTATTTCCCAGGTTCCTGCTGAAATGCAGTGAGAAGGCAAACCAAGGTAGACAGGGTGAAAAAATAAGATAACTACATTAGAGGAACCAGAAGAGAAGAAATGGAGTGTGTCTAACTGTGGAAAATAAGCACAAGGAAGAGGAATCAGAGAGCAATAATCAAGCACACATTCCCTGACAGAGAAGGATTAGTTTTTCATGTTGAAGTAAAGCATGGATATGAAAAATGAATCATACTGGTATAAATTATTCATGTGTGAAGATGTTTCAGTCATTAAGATATTTACACCATGACTGAAGCACTTACACACTATGTTGATTTATTGACTATGTAATCACATAAAATACACTGATGAACATTGGCGTGAAAGACACTCTAGATTTTTGATTTTGTTAATAATTTTTCTCACTTTAGAGCACTGCATCTCAATCAGTACGAGAGGCCTGATTAAAACCTCCCAGAGGAAGCAGCACTGCTTTCTGCATGCTAATACATTTCTTCTGCTAGAAAAAAACCCACACTTTTTTTATTTGACAGCTTAAATCATAGGCAACAAGGGGTTTTATTCTGAATATACTTTTGTGATGTATAAATATACTATACAATACAGAAAAAGTTTTAGATAAAATAAGCAGTGTTACCACTCCCCTCCTCACCTTAAAAGATTTCACAAATCATTGTTAAAGTTGAAAATCTGTATTTTTAACTTGATAAAGGGATCACATTTTACATGTGTTTCTTTATGTCCTTCTAAATTTATGGATCTGTTAATCCTTAACCTGTTCTCATGGCATGTTAAATCCAGGTCAACAACTAGTGTATGGTAGAGGACAAAAAACCTCTTTAGAATTCCCACAGTGGGGAAGCCAAAAAGTGAGCTGCTTGTATTATGTAGCAGAGGATCTACATGTGAAACAGTACCTATAAATGCCCTAAAAAGGGAAAAGCCTCAGTCACAGCTTGCAATCAATAATGACAGTAAATCCACAAGAAACCAAACTTTTTTAGTCAATGATACTTTTTATTTCCTTCCCAAAGCTGCCTTCTACTTAAAGCTGGGAAGTACTGCTATTAAGCTTGTTCCTGTAGGAACACTGAGCTCTGTTGCTATCTCTGTGAAACTCTGCAGCTTCTCACTTCTTAAACGAGAAGATCTGGGGTGCTTTTTTATTTTTTCAAAGTCATGGTAACACAAGGAGCCAATCATGTTCTTGAGCAATTTTAAAGAACTAGACACAGAGGAAGGATGTCAAAACAGATTTTGACCCCAAAAAGCCAGTTGAACCAATTGAAACGCACAGCTTCAGAAGACTGCTATTGATCTGCCTGGATACTGCTGTACCTTGTAACAGTGACACAACAAACAAGTGAATACCTTACTATCTCACACTAATTTTCCTTTCACAAAGCTTCTTCCCTATTAGGTGTTCACAGACTAACGAGTTTCTCACCTTAGAACTGTATATAGCAGGTCCATGTAGCCTTCTCTGTTGTGATTCTCTGATTGAAAGCAGGTAAAAAAACCCCAAACAGCAAGGTTCTGGTTCAGATCTTTAGTTCCTCAAACCCTGTAGTTCTTGCAATACAAAGTTTAATGCTTTTCTAGCAATGCCTTCACAGAGTTACATGTGTCTGTTAAAACTAGAAGACAGTATTTCACAGAAATATTTTCTCTTGGCCAGAAAAGTGTGCTCTCCCACTCCTCACATCTTTTTTTTGTTCCCTTCATACAAAATCTTTGCACCCTACAGATGTCAAGGATGGCTGGACAGTTCAACTTGATGATCTTAGAGGTCCTTTCCTACTGTAATGATTCTATGATACTAAGCAGATCAATCTCCCTCTCAGGAAGGAGCTTCTTTTTCTTCATTCAGTTCTTGTCAGTACACCTGAATCTTTTATCTTCTTTCTACTTTTCTGTAACCTGTATTTTTATACCCAGTACCTCTGTGCCTCATGTTCAGACCAGTGGATCACAGAACCATATTTTAGTGAAGTTAAGGAAGATTGTTGAGAACTGGAAAAAAAATCTGATATCTCTGACACTCTCTCCTTTAAAAGCAAAAAGCTGGAACATTTACATCAAATCAGTTTAAATTCCCCCCTCACTCCCAAATGACCTAGACCATATTCTTGGTTTCCTCTGCTCTCTCTGTGCTCTTGTTTTAATTTACAAAAGTCAAAGATTCTTTTCCAGTACCCACTCAGCAATCATATATGCGACAGCTTCAATACACTGACTGTTCCCCAAGGAACCTGTTGAGTAAACTCCCTTAGAAGTTTACTTACGCAAATCCTTAAATGTATACACACAAAAATACACTACCATCTTCTTGAACTTGTTTTCTTTAAAAAAAAGCCAACAGAATGTGGAGGGTATGTGTGTTTATGTATATGAGCCGGTGTGCATTACAAAAAGGGTCCAAAACAAAACACTCCAGTGCAGTTCTTACTGCAGAAATGTTAGGACAACCAACATGTCACTGTCAGCACTCAGTGCACAAGTGGAAAGTACTTAAAAACTGCAGTAGCGAGTCTGGTGTGTAAGGCACAGAGTAGGATGACGGCAGTCTCAGCTTCTGCAGCCAAATCTCTGCCTTTATTTGGCATATCTCAGTCTCAGTTCACAATAACATATATGTTATTGTGACATGTTGGTTGTCCAGAGAACTAGCAGAGTGGTTTTAAGATATCAAAGT